AGAAAATGGTATGCTAGGGGCGTTCGAGGGCACAGAAGGTGGTACATTCGAGTCGGCAGCAGCATCCACAAGTTGGCCAGGCGTTTGCGCGCGCAGGAGAGTGAGCACTTGTTCCAACAGCATTTCAGTACGGGAAGCCGAAGTCGAGGCGTGTGATGCAGCATTGCGCGGTGAACCAACCCGTTCGTCCAAAGGCAAGGAAGATGTGGGCTGATCTACCACGGTGTGTGTAGGGGCATGGCTTTTAACCGCGGCGGAATGTTCACGAAGTTGCATGTTGGCAAGTTTGAACGCCAAGGTAGACACGGACGGCTGTCCTACAACAGCGGGGGGGCGCAAAACCAGTGGCGAAGAACAGAGGGAACCGTCTTCTGAAGCATTCTTGTGTTCCCCCAACAGCCCAGAACTACGAAAATCACGCCGATCATACTGCACTTGCCTGTGACCCCGACCTGACTTCCTTCTCCCTTTGCCACCTCGACCGCTGTCCGAGCTGGTCGCCCTGCTGTTGCCCCCGCTCCTCGTCTGGCTCCGGCTGCGGCTACGCCTACTCGAAGGCGTGTTGCTCCCGCGACGGTCGCTGCTCCGGCTGCGATCACGCCGAGAAGAAGGCGCGTGACGTTGCTGGCGGTCTGTGCTCCGGCTCCTGCTCCGACTCTGGCGGTGTCGACGCTTCGACGAAGATCTGGGAGGTTGGGTTCCCGCGTACCCCCGCTCACCATCTTCGACACCCCGCCCTCGCGAAGTGCGCTCGGTCGTCCCGCTCTTGGCTGTGGGAGCTTGATCACCCCAACGGTTCCTCCGGTTGGTGGAGGCAAGAGCCGCCGACCGACTGTAATCCTTGGTCCCTCCGGAAGCATGGACACGGCTTGCAGAATCCTGCTGAGGGAGCTGCAGATCATGCTGGAAGTCTTCGTTGGTTGCAGTACGAGCAAGAGGCAATCTAATTCCCCCATTGTGTACCACCACCGCTGTTCCCTGGGGACCCTCGGTGAAAGAAGCCCTACGGAGAGCAGACACTAGCTGAAACACACTCTGTTGCAAGGACGGTTCAAGCTGGTCGAGGGGCTCGATACAAGGTGTGCAAAGCCAAGTCCAGTATAAGATTCGGGATAGCGGTCACGCACAATTTGTTGAAGGCCAGCCCACGCAAAAAAGGCACCAGTTCGGGTCGGCATCATGGAAGGTGATCACTTGTGTAGGCGTGTAAAGGGGGCGGGACAGGAATGCTGTGTCCTTCGCGTGAAACCTGTACTCCGCGGCTTCATCGTCCGACGCGCCGTCGGCCTCCCCGGCCGGCCCATCCAGCGTCACAGAAAACTGGGGAGCAGCAGCCACTTCCGGTCCCGGGGCCGCCTGGGACGTGAGAGGGGGAATGACACGACGATGGGCGGGGGGCGAAGGCAAAGTTGAAGCTTGCGGGCGTTGCTCCAGGTCCTCCAGCCGTGATCGGAGCGCCCCCTCCTTCGCCCTAGCCGCTCGAACATACTCCTCTCGCGCCGCCAGTTCCGCTTTCTTCTGCGCAGCAGCCCGAGCAGCCTCGCGCTCCTCCTTCTGCTTCCTCGCAGCCTCCGCCAGAGCAGCCTCACGCTCGTCCTCCTGCTTCCTTGCAGCATCCGCCAGAGCAGCCTCACGCTCCTCCAGCAGCTTCCGCTCTTCCGCCGCCGCTACCTTGCTGGCCAGACCTCGGCACCACATCTCGGTCAATTCTTGATAAGCGATGAACTCATCTTGCGGCAAGTTCATCACTGTGGCTTCCTGAGGGAGCGAGAAAGGACGAACGCAAATGGGGGAACCGGGGGACAAACGAGCTGCCCTGACAACTTCGCGCAGGGAGATCGGTCCATCGTTGTAGGCCTGCTCCAGGCCCGCCGGATCCGCCGTGGCGATGTTGTCCCTCAGGTCATCAACTGTGGACGCGCCGGGTGCGGACGCGCTCTCGTCGCTCGTCCCGGCCACTGCAAACAAGCTCCGCGGTGGATGGCTCGTCCTCAGCCTCGTAGTCGAGGATTTCCTCATTTCCATCTATCAGTTCCACATGGCCGCGCGACATGTTGTTCTCTTCTTTCAAAAGGATAGGGCCAGAGGAAGGGTAGCTACTATCGATTTTAAAAAGTGCAGTACGGCCAGAAACAGCAGATGTGTCACCCCCAACCTCTGCTGCGGCATCAGAACCGATTGCAGCAGAAACAGTAAAGCTGGGCGCAATCGCGGTAGAGGCAAGCCGAGGTCCATGTGAAAAACGGAGATACCCACAGGATAGCATACGCCCGGTGACAAAAGCTTGATGCACACGAGGTTGAAGCGGATCCAACCAAGCAGAAAAGGCGTCCAAAAGCACACCATGCCACGCATAGACAGCAGTGGAAGCTAGCACAAAGGGACCCGTATTATACGGAGACACGAGATTGTCCGACCAAAACACACGCAGAGCAGCACGGCGTTCCTCCGCAACTGGAGCCGAAGTGCGAGCAAAGACCGCTGTGGGTTTGCGCTGTTGAAAGGTTTCCAATCCAGCATCATAAAATTGCGTTCAACGCTGAACCACAATTCAAATGCCTTGAGGGTGAATGACTCTCCGAAAAAAAATTCCATGTGATCGCGAAAAATGGAGGGAAGGCTGGTGGGGCGGCTGGCACCCAATTTGTGTGCACACAACGCTCTCCACGTCGAAACAAGCGGAGTCAAATCGGAGAGCACCACAGGGAAACCCGCGGACATCGGCCGGTACGCCGGCATGAATGCAGTAGAGGTGGTAGCGGACGCGGGAAGCATGCTATCATCTCGAGTCCCACTACACAAAGGCAGCAACTCCGGTTGCTGCATGCAAAGCGTGTCCGCCACCGAAATAACTTCATGGACCGCCGATGCAGACAAAATAGCTCGGGAGGGGCGGCGAACGTAGGAAAAATCACCTACAACATCGCGATGACCGCCGAGGCGCGTATCCTTCGCAACGTCCCAGTCCCGCGGACGCTTAGCAAACGCATCGCAAGCCAGCATCTCTACAGGAGAAGAAGCAGAGAAGGCTAAGTCTAGATTCTCGTGGGTGGTGAGACCAAATAACCAACAACCCAGTGATTGTGAAGAAAGCGTGACAACAACACACAGCAGTGTGGAGGCCGCGTCCAGCACCCGCTTACCGTGTAAAGCCGCTGACGCCAAGTTTAAAGGAGGTGACGGCAGGAGCGAAGGTGTACCGATTCTGGTAAAAGTCAATCGACGGATACCCTGCGAATCGGGTCCTCCTTAACACTCTCCACCCACAGAATTTACCCTCAACTGGGAACCTCTTGTGGCCAGGACGGGTAATTCGATGGAAGTGTCACAAGGTTCTTTATAGGATCGATTCCAAGAGGTGTTCTCAGGACTGACACACATTGTGTCCATGGGAAAATGTCCATGTCAGGAGAAAAAACGTGCACCCAAGGAGATTCGAACCAGTATCCAGCTGACGCCATATGCGAAGGAGGTGAAGCCGTGGGCGGTAGCTTGCTCCTAGAGATAGATGAAGGTAGGTTCTGTCGTTGACACACTTGTCCACGACCACGTTGAGATGGGAAAGTTGCTTGTTATTGCTGAGAGACGATCAGCAAGGGTCTGAGGTGAAGTGGGGATCCAACTTCACCTCAGGGGGTACGCAGACGAGACAAATCCTAAGAGGGTAGATGTCTGAAGGGTATACCTCCTGGGACCGACCCACATCCTATCAACAATAAAATATACCCTATTTAAGCTAGCAGCCACACCCCTTAACAGTATCCCCCATTTGGGTGGGGCTCCCCTGCCAGTATATCAGGTTGAAGTTCCCTAGTGCTGTGGCTGTTGAATACGAAATCTGAAGTATCTCCGACCCAGGTGCGGAAATAAAATCATCGGTTGGTATTTCGTAGCGCTTTTTCAAGGCAACCCGGTGCCATCTCCCCGACTCCGGTGGCGGTGCGGAAATATTGCAATTTCATTGATTTCGTAGCTCTTTCAAGGTACCCCGGTGCGATCTCTCCGACCGGTGCGATGCAAAGAAATACACACAGCAGCAGCGGGCTTACTATACAACTGCTGTATGCAATAATGGCCTAGACTATGGTGCTCGGCGGTGTTGTTTGCACGCACCCCCCACGGTGCCATCTCTCCGCCGCTTACGATAGTGTATCTACAACCCTCCAGGTACTCGAGGTATACTGTACGTGTGTAGTGTCCATGTTTGTTTACCGTTGGTTGTTGCTGGCTGGCAGATCATCTCGGTTAGCAACAACAACGTACATTTGTTTACAGGGTTATAGGCGCCGTTGTACTGTATGTAGGAGCTTTAGCTTTCCACGCATCGCTCTTTTTCTTTTTCGTTTTCGTTTTTCGTTTTCTTTTCTCTTTTCTTCACATCCGTTCAACGTTGTTGATTTCTATTGACTTGCGGATCCCTTGGGGCCAGTTTGTTTGAGCGTACCTTTTTAGGGTAAGTTAGCCTGTGACCACGGGAATCGACCGCGTCATGTGCTCGATCAGTACGGACGTATGAAGGTATAGTCCACTGGGAAGAGAGAAATCGGAACGGTTTTTAATGTGAAGACAACCACAACAACAACAACAACAATGTGTTAGCGAGTCGTCATGGGTTGGCCCGGCCTTCTAAGTCGCGTCTTAGAAAACGTCTAACTCCGTTTCCACGGGAGAGGCACGTCTATCCCCCAATATGGCGACTAGGCACGTCGTACAGTCGTCTAACGCAATGGGGGATGCGACTGGGTTACTGTTAAGGAGCTGTCTCGACGACTTAACAGGACGTTAGACGCAGGGAAGGAGTAGCTCGCTCTCTTCCGCCTTCCGCCCTCCATCTCTTCTCTCTCCAACCCTCTCTCCCCTCCGTTCTCCGTAGAAGTACCTCCTACCAAAATGGAAGGAAGGATGTTTGCATGTTTGCACTCAAATTTTGAAAAATTTGCCCGCCGAAAATGTTCCGCGCTCCGGCCAAGGCCCTCACGCCTTGACTCACGCCTCACGCCAACGCCGCCTCACACACTCCACACTCCACACTCCACACCTACTTTACGGCCCCCCGAGTCCCGAGTCCCGAGCCCCGTTATGTCTTTGACCCCACCAGCATCGGCTACAACGCCAATGGCGGCGGTGTCGCTTACTACCACGACACACAACGCGTCCGTCGGAACGGCCTCAAAACGGCCTCCACCCCCGTGTCCTTGGTCGGGACCAGCACATCTCCAGTCGTTGCTCCTGCTGCAGAGGAGGCTGCTGCTGGAGCTGCTGGTGCTGCTGCTCACCCAGTGCCTCCGGGAGGCACACAAGCACCAACATCTGGAGCGATGGACAAGTTTGTGCAGCCATATGTTCCAGGGAGTAATGAGGCTGCGCACATCTTCGTCTTGGCGAACAAGCCTGCAGCCGCTGCCGCCGGTCGCCAGCGGAGGAGTGTTGCTGCGGCTCCGGCCACGGGAGCAAGTGACAACAGCACAGGCAAGCGATCTCGAGGGGTGAACGGACTTTCGTCCTCCAACCCGAAAACTATTTCGGCAAGCTCACGCTGCAGGACTTTTCCGGGTGAGGGCCTCGTCGTTTCCGCGGGCGCCCTCTATTGCGAACCGTGCGCCAAGCGCCTGGGGACTTGCCTCTCCACGATCAGGGCCCATTGTGGACTCCTGAAGGACGGTAGTCACAAGGCGGAACCCAACCAGCACATGCAGAAGCTGGAGGTGCACTTGGCCGCAGAGTTCGAGGCGCCTAACAGGAAGACTCGCTTCACGCAGTACTGCAACAAGAGGCGGGCCGTATACGGGAAGACCGTCGATCCCGAGGTCAACGACAAGCGCTGCAAGGTGATCAGAATATTTTTTTTCAATCGTCGACATTCTCTTTATTTTGGAACAGCACAGAACGAGGTGAATTTTGCTCTGCATATCTTGATGTACTTCGCGACTAACCTTGTTTAGACCATGTTATCCTATATAAGTGAACAACGACCAAATTTCTTCATTGGTCAGCCATTATTGTGCGTACGCCAACAGCAGCAGCAGAGTAGTAGAGTGGACTTGCTGCAGTATTTCCCTTCAAGTCGTTTGCATACGGCTGTGTGAATTTTCCATACAAGTCGAGCCAGCAGCAGATAAGGGGGTTACTCTTTGGCCGGGCACACGGTTACGTAATGTGATGATGATTCCTGAATTCTCCTTCGCTCGGGTTGTTTTTTCAATAAGAAGATTGGTTTGAAGTAGGCACCTGCTGTCCCCTATTGTTTTGCTCTGGTTCTACCGTAATAGTTCCGCTTCTGGATCTGGTGCTTGCTCGGCCGCCTCACCTCCCATGTGCCTCACCCCCCACCTGTGCTTCTGTTATATTCCAGCTAATCACTCAAGTCATGGGTGCCGGAATATCACTCTCCAAGCTTGACCCTCTCCGGAGCATGTTCACCAGCCTCGGAGCAGACATGGTGGGGTCATCGAAGTCGAAGGAGTACATCGGCTTCATCAACGAGGAGCAGATTCGCTCCATTCGTCAGGACATCCTTGGCAAGGACATCGGTATTGCCATCGATGGGACGCCTTTCAACGGCACGGTAAGGGAGGTCCACTTGCCGCATGCTACGAATCTGTGCACTTCCGTCGTGAGACTATTTTTTTTGCGCTGCTACACTCGTTGTGCCTCTTGGTCGTTCGGTTGTCTTTTGCGCACCCCCTCCGTCGATTTCCATTGTGCTTTTCGGATCATTCGCTTTATTTAATTCCTTGTGGCATCTGATGTTTGCGGGATTTCTTACTCGCTGTTGACCGTGAGCAAGACTGAGCTGTATGCAAGCCTATACACCCTCAACACTACGTTTCTTGCATCACTCTTCGGCGTCGAACCTCGTCCCCTTTTCCAGGAGACGTTCGGCGTGGTTGTTCGCGCCGTGGGAAAAGACCTCGCAGTCATAAAGCGCCTCGTCTCCCTTCGCATGCTGGAGAGCGCCATGAACAACCGCAACATTGCCGCTGAGGTGATCGACGTCGTCAGAGACAGGCTGGATATCTCCGATCGGGTAAGTTCATTGGGCAGCCGTCAAAGTTATGCATGTTGTTTGAGTGGGGAGATGAAAGCGTGTGTTGGCAACGCTTCGGGTGGTGACTGATACCCTCGCCCCCTTGTTGGTTTCGAAATCGTGAATGGTGTTCGCCCACCGCACTCATACTAATGCGCGAATGCGAACTCGTTCTCCCTCCCGGCCCCTCCTCCCCTGTTTGCGCCCAAACAGAACCTCGTGAAGAGTTTTCAGTTCGATGGCTGCGCCGCCAACCGCAAGGCTATGAGGGACGTGTTGCCCGGCTTCTTCTCGCAGGCCGTCTACATCGCATGCTGCAGCCACCTCATGGACAACTCGGGTAAGTTTGTGTTTCCGTTCGCAGATAGTCGCGGGCCCCGTTTGTGTTGCGCGGGTTGTGGGCCATGGAGCTCTTGCTTCCTGTTGCTAGAGCAGCCGTCAGCAAATATTTCTCTCTTTTCCATCGGTTGGGACGTGTGGTCTTACCTCGTTATCTGCCTTCTCGAGATAGCACAACCTCTTGTACTGCAAGCTGTGATCGTGCACATTGTCTCCTACCGTTTACAGAACACAAGAGAGTTTCTGAATCGCTGACAATTCTAAACATGAACATAACCGCCATTTAATTCGGTTGTCTCCATATTTTCTTCATCGTGTCTCTTTCATTTTGGCAGGGAAGCAGATCGATGCGCCAAGGGCCAGTGATTTTATGCTCAAGACCAGCAGCGTGTTCAGCTACAGCTTCCACGCGAAGCGCGAGCTCGTGAACAGGGCAGGGAAGACGTGGCCGAGGTTTGTCAACCACCGGTGGGGTTCCAAGGCTGAGGTGTTCGAGTTCCTGAGCACCCAGCTGCCGGCCATCGAGGACTTCATCCGCACCTTCCGCAACTCCGACGGGAGGCGCAACAAGACATGCCAGGCGCTGCAGGTACAGCGCTTATGGAGTATGCTGATTGGAACCTTCGACTACGCCAGAGTTTTGTCTGCCATAATATCTTGCCTTGCCTCTCCTGTGTGCTTGACGTTCAGCGTCAACACTCAATGTGCTCCCTTTTGAAATGCGGTGCTAAACACCGTTGCTTCTCGGTTTCACGCGGCAGGACAAATACCTGGACAACGTCCACGAGCGCAGGTTTCTGCTCCTGGAGCTTGCCATGTACAGGGACGTCTTGTTGACGTTCAAGACAGCATGCTTGGCATTGGAGGGGGACGATGCCCTGGTGTTCAAGGTGAGGAACACGATTGTGTGGTTATGGAACTTGGGCGTGTATCTTGGTGCTGTTGATGCTCACCATTTAGATTTTCTTGTGTTTCCGAGGTGTACTTCAACATGCAGAGAGACCTCGACATCGTTGTGAGACAGTTCAACGTAAGCGCAGGCAACGGTGCTGCCATCATGTCTTCGCTGGCTGTGCCCAATTCGAAAAAGGTTCTTGACAATTGCATGCGGGCAACGGCATGCACCTGCTTCCTTGTTTGGCACACAACATCTCACAGCCAACGCTTGCAATTCCTTGTCGCACATTGTTGTTTGTCGACAGGCGTACGACATCATCCAGAAAGTGGTGACAACCCTGCGGCTGGACGACCTGAACGCCTACGTGTCCCTCCCCAACGTCGAAGCTCTGCTCCGAGGAAACCACGAGGGCACACCGGATGAGGCCACGTTAGCCTCTTTGCGCTCACACGTCACGGGCTGCCTCAAGGACATCCGCAGCTACTCAAGCAGCCAGTTCGGCGACGGCATGGAGGTCAAGTTCCGCCGCGAGCTTGACCTCTTCAAGGCCGCGCGGATCATCAACCACGTGCACGTCCGCCAGCAACCTCTCGACGACATCGACCCCGAAGTGTTGAGCATCTTTCCTTTCATCAGTTCGGGCGACATCACCAACCTCCGCGCGGAGATGCCCGAGTACATGAACGCCGTCACCCGCGTGAGGTCGACGTACCCGGTGCGGAGTTTCTGGGTGGACAACGCGTCAACTCTTCCCGCGTGGTACGCTGTCGTGGAGAAGCTGTGGTTGGTGCAGCCTTCGTCAGCTATGATGGAACGTGTTTTCTCCGTCCTCAACAACGTGTTCGGAAAGCAGCAGCTATCTTGTCTGAACGACCTCGTGGAGACGACGGTCATGGTGCGGTTCAACGAGACTGACCGCACCAAGGGGTCGGCTGCCCAAGCTGCAGCCTTGGACGACGAGGAAGAACACGAGGGAGGGCCTGCCCAAGCTGCAGCCTTGGAGGACGAGGACGACGAGGATGAGGGCGACGAGGACGAGGACGAGGAAGACACCGGGAGCGGACAGGACTAAAAGAAACACACAACAAGTCGTGTGTGTAGTTGTTTGACGTCACACCGACCGTCACAGGCCTTGGACATGACGCATTTTTCCTTGATGGTAGTCGGACGAAACATCGCGCTCTTACTGTTGGGTGTGGTGTGTGGTGTTCTCTTGGAGATCGTGCGTTTGATGTAGCAATTAGTTTTAAAATTGGTTGCAGATTTGCAGCGAAGGGGCTCAACCAGAGTACCATATTATTGATGTTTTTCTTGCTTGCGTTGCAAATGGCAAATGGCATGCGTGCGCCTTGCTGGCACCCCCGGGTACCCACGTTACAGTAGAAAGTAGATATCTTGCAACGGCTCTGTGAACCAACGAACGCGTCTACTACTCTGTTGACTCAAGATAGAAATGAGCAAAAATAAACGTAAAACCTGGATCGTTTTTGGTACAGTAGTGTCGTACCAAGGGTATATATACCAAGATAACCAGAGGGTCTCTAGGAGTCTCACCTGCTTCAAATTTCTTCGATTACCCCCTGATGATATACCAACCAAGCCATTGCAACGTGCAGTGGCGCGCTCTAGGTGGTGCATGGAATGGGGCGCAAAACCGATTTGGTCGGCATCAAGCACAACAACACCGCTTTGTGCTTTGTAGGACCTTGTGGCCTTGTTCTGTCGAACTGAGATGCATTTAAGCCGCGCTAAGACGCAGTTTCGACGCGCAAAGACGTATTTTAGACGCGCTTAGACGTATTTTAGACGCGCTTAAGCGAACACAAGACGTCCCAAGACGAATACAAGACGTGCTAAGACGAATACAAGACGTGCTAAGACGAATACAAGACGTGCTAAGACGAACCAGAGATGCGTTTAGACGTGTAAGATGCACTAAGACGAACCGAAAATTTTTTCGCCTGCGGCGGGCTAAGTACTCGCTCGTCTTAACAGTCCGACTAAGTCGGCGCTGCGCGCGACTTAGAAGGCCGGGCCAAGTCATGGGGTCTGAGTCCGAGTTTGGCTATAAGATACAGCATGGCGTGACAAGGATAACAACACACGATGGTGGTTTCCATCTTCTGGGGTGTTCCGGTGCACACACACTACGGTTTCAGGAGTTCAGTTGTTGATCCCCGCTTTCGTTTCGCCGGTCTTCCTCTATAACTGCTGTATGAAAACGACGCAGCAGCAGCAGCAGCAGCAGCAGCAGCAGAGAAGTAGACACACACTATAACACTCAAGTTGCCACACGCACTGCATTAGACCTACTGCTGTAGTAAAGGTTGGCTTGCAGTTGTGCTTGGTTGAGTGTACAGGGTTGGCAACTTCGTATGTGTACCAACAAATAAGACACATCTGACCACCCGAGTGCGACTGATTGGATCTTTTTGTATGCTTCGATGACACCGTCTCCAATCTCCAAGGTAAAAAAGAAGATAGCGAACATGCCTCTTTTTCCGATAGCGCACGAAAGAGCTAAATCTTGGACTCGTGGGTGGGTGAGATCGCGATCTCACCGACCCCGGTGTAAAAGTTCATGCATGTCGGGTTCTTGGTTTTATTTGCGCACCCCGGTGCCACCTCTCCGACCGGTGCCATCCCCCCGACCGGTGCCACCTCTCCGCCTGTTACGGTATCCTGAGAAACTGCTGGATTTGATACATAAAAGGGCGACGGATTGGGGCGTCGGAAGTGTTCAAGCCGCCCCCTCTCCCCCGCGTACCGCTCGTTCGTCGATTGGTTGAAACCTCACCTGCGCAGCAGCCACGTTCGCACCATACATACCCACCCCCGCCATAGATATAGAATCATCCTCCGGCAATCCTGCAACGATGCTCAATCGGAAGGTCGCCTTCCGATGTGCGGGAGCAGTGGTGGCTGCGACCGTCGTCTTGTTGTCTGCTGCGGAGCGCGCTATCACACAAGAAAGAGGCACCGCCGTTAGCCCGCTATCGAGCTTGCTGCCTCCAGCAGCATCGTCATCGGAGTTGGATTCTGACCATCATGACGATGATGGGGAAAGCACGGAAGGGTGCGAGGCGCCTTACTACGCGATTGTGCCGGAGCGCAGGCACCGGGTGGAGGCGCCGTCTGAGGGCACCGTGGCAGGGAACGTTCGGGCGGTCTACGAAGACATGTCTGCAGGGATATTGGTGCGTTAGCTACTGCTTTGACTGCTGTATATTGCGGCAGCAGCAGCTGTGTTCTTGCAGCAAGCTGTGCATACCATGATGGTTGCACCTTATGGTCGAATGACGGGCGGGTGTGTGCCAATTCGTCGGCCCGGACTGCCAAAGCGTTTCTTCCTTTCCTTGTTGGTCCGCGGTCGTTGGGGCTTTGCACGCCGTCATCGTCTATTGGCATGTACCGTAGCGGTGGTGCGGATGCTGGTATGTAGCAATGGCCACGAGATTTGCGTCGGTCCACGAAAAACAGCAACGGCTTCAAGTTGCAGTACCGTTGTTGGCTTGTCGCGAACTGCCGCACTGCTTTGCTGTACGACGGTGTCTTGCTGCATCCAACGTATGCTACATACAAACATGTGGGAGGTGTGCAGCACCCACTCCCTCTGTAGATGCATCGCGCGCAAGACAGAAAACAGCAGCAGGTATCTTGCGCTCGCACAGAATCAAACACCATGCAGGAGGAAGAAAGTTCTCATTTCCTGTCGGGCAAACATGGTGGTGTGTGTGTGTGATGTGGAAATCCCGAGAGAGAAGACGGGGCAACCTCCATGTACTGCTGTCTGCTGTACTGCTGTAGTATGCATGCTGGACATAAGAGAGCTCTTCGCTTTGGCACAAAAAGCGCCCAAGTAGGCAGTGGTGTCCAACTGCTGTGTGTCATAACTGGCACACCAGCACACCAGCGCACCAGCCTCGAACCTACAATAATAGCCAAGGCACCAACTTAGCATCTATGCGCCAGTGTTGTAAGCACTCGTCGGCAGACTACAGCAGTACAGCAGTAGTCGCTGCTGTACCCAGCTACCGCCGAATGCGTCCTATTTAGCTGCACCAAGCTGCACCATTATTATTATTCTGCTGTGCTGTGCGCACCCCGAATATTAGCGTGCCCGCATGCGAAAAAAAAGAAAGAAACCTGGCGTGCGTACCTGCATGTACGCACAGCGCTCAGCGGTCACAGCGGCGGCGGGCGCATGCATACCGCAAAAAAAGGCTGCACAGCAGCAGTAAAAGACCGACAAATCTAGGTAGACCAAGAGATAAGCATTTTGTAATGTGTTTTGCCAATGTAAATGCGCAAGTGCTGTATGTAGTCTTAGATGCCGAAGGCGAGGAAACAGCAGCAGCAGCAGCGTCAAAATCGTTATTCTTGTGAAAATATGTTCCATCTCTTTGCGCAAGTTTAGGGAGACTACGAACCGCACCGCACCAACAAGGCGTACTTCCGTCGTGTACTCTGCAGCACTGCTGTAGGCTTACATGTAGGCTACATATGGCCGTGTAAATATTGAGTGGATTATTAGTGCAGAGAGTTTTTAGATGCCTGGACGGATTCTGTGGAAAAGTTTACTCTCGTTTATAGTATACAGCAGTATACAGGTCTAACTGCTTGCGTGCTCTGACATGTCCCCCTGCCCGCTACACACAAATAAATACAGGACGCACCCGCACTTGCGAACCCAGGAGTTAAAAGAGTTAAGAAATGAAGCCTTAAGAAGATCCATTTTTTATTTTTATTGAGCTCGGTGAAGAACCCCTCCTATACTAAAAGCTACAGTCTATATTGCGACCATTCGTAGCATGACCCCGGAACTAAGAACCCCAGCGGAACTAAGAACCACAGGAGGCTAAAAACATGGGGGGCAGAACGTGCTTTCCCGTACGTCGAACAACGAAACTGCTGTCGTTTGGGCGTCTTTACATTTTTGATAAGCTGCCCGGCTCTGTAGTCCAACTGACGCGGACGAAATCCTTGCGCCACAGGTTAACTACCCAAAGAGGGTACGTGTGCCCCCCTGTTCTGGCAAACCATTACCAAAGCGAACACGGCAACATATACGAAGTAGCGCTCAGTAGCACACCCCACCCAAACATATATATAGGTAAATGAGAGTCGGCCATCAAGCAGTAAAATCTACCCACTTATTGGCAATGCTTGCCGTCTCGAGTCTGCCTCTGGCCATTTTCTACCTCTCTCGATTACCATGTCTTCCGCATTGCTGTACACGACAGTAGTTCTACTGACTGTAGAAGATAGTTCCGAGGCCAAGGACTGCCTGAAAAACAACAAAGAAGTAGTATGAACATGTCAACAGACCCCTCCAACGGCGAAATAGGCAATTACTAAGTGAACTGTTTCAGACTCCCGACCACGTCCTACGTTTGAGTGTCAACATGCTTGTGTCTCGGGACAGAAACGATGGGGTGCCGAGTACGAAGACACGCTGTTCTCCGATGCCATGGCATGGGGGGCAGACGGGCGACAGGTGGTGAAGGACAAGATGCTTAACGCGGTGCTGGAGCAGGATAGTTTCGTGGCAGCTTTCACAGGCGAGAGATACAGGCCTGCTCATTAGACTATGTAGAGGGAGGGGGAGAGAAGGCGGGGGGGATAGACGGGCAGGCAGACAGACCGAGAGGCCCCCTGGGAGAGTGGGCTATAACAGTAGAAGAGCGGATAGCTTGGATGTTCAAGCTGCTGGCTCGCGGTCTCGAGTTTGTTTGGTCGTCGTGGCGACGTTGGTCTGATCGTGAGGTGCCTTGCTCTCTTCATTGTCAGATGCTCTACTAGTGATCCGTGAACAGAATCCCAGTAGCTTTTGCAGCAACATGCACGTCCAAGCTGGAATAATGGGAGACAGGAATACCGAGAGAGAGAGAGAGAGAGAGAGAGAGAGAGAGAGGACGGCGGAGCGTACCTTGTATGACACAAGACAACACACCCTCTGGACCAATTTTCAAAGCTCGATTACGTCACAACGAAGAGGATGCATTAATGAAACAATACATTTTCAGAAAGCTCTCGACGAGACTGCTTCAACGCCACCGTTTTCGGCGCTGTGGCTCTTTCTGCTGTTGAGAAATCGAGATTTGAAAATCGGTGCAGGGGGTGTGTTATCTTGTGTCATTTTCGGTAGTCGTTAATCTGCTTGCCTTGTCTGTCTCACCTACGACCTCTAAAAGGCTATAGGGGGGGGATGGTTCCCCCATGTTGCCGCGTACCATGTACTGTAGAGGGAATCCTTCGGTCTCGGTCGATGTTGTAACCGGTCCGCTTGACAAGCTGCCTTGTTTTGTCCCAGTTGGGCCCACGGGAACCTTGCTGTACAGGAGTCAGTAGCTTTAACGCGAACATCAGCAAACACGTGTTAAACAGTAGGAGAGTTGCTGTGCAGTCTACCGTATCAATGTCACGCTGGAGCGTCGCGTCTGACTTTCCATGGCACCCTGTGCCTGAACTGCACCTGGGCACTTCTCTGGCGACGTGTGTACAGGCAATTCCATTGCGGCCGGACACGACTGCCTGTACGAGCAAAGCTACCCCATTCTTCTCAATGCTACCATGGGCCGGCTGATGGCTGCTGCAGGAGTAGGGTGAGATTTCCAAACCAAGCTTGTTTTATGTGTGTTTTGAACGGAGTCTGTTATTGTACTCACTGGGTAGTGCAAGCTTCGCCGTGGCTTGTTTGTGATCGCCTTGCCTGTCTTGTGCGGCAAGAGCCATAGCGATACCAAAAGCATGGACGTTGATTTCTTATGGGTTGTCGTGTATGAAGAAACCGCATTATGGCTTGGCCGCTACTGGTGATGTGGAATAAGGGTGTGATGCCTGTAGCTGAAGTCGCGCAGAATGTGCATGGTATGTGGTACATGGTGCATGTCGCTCGATTGAACAACAGCACCGTGCCAGTTCTTGTTCCCCCGAAAATATGTAAACAATCGAAACCAGCATGTAGATCTTCTTTTGTACCGCTTCCAATCCTATCATCTCTCTGATCTGATAATCTTTCGTTCGAAGTTTCGCTTGACTTGGCCGTTGCCGATCTGCCTACCGATCCGTCTTTGCACCCACCCCAAAGGTACACCGCCATCAACGTCGCCATGGGGAACACAAGGGCTGCGCCGTACAGCTACTGCGTCGACGCCCACGCTGGGTTGGATGCCGATATCGTGTCTTGGTCCTTCGTGAGTGCCATAATCAAGCAGAATACGCTTCGGAGCTCCACCACGCCATCTATCTAACGGACCATCCGTGCTTATTTCGTCATCCCACTCCTCGGCGGACTCATTAGCACGTGCGGCTGGGAGAACGACCGGTCAACAACCGAACACAAATTACTTCTTCAGTTGACTCATCCGCCCCAAAGCTGCGCGTGCGGACGTGAGGACAAATTGCACGTTCACGGAACCCTGGTTATCACGACGCGGTTTGAAATCGAACGAAAGGGCTAAAGCCTCGCCGTATTTAATCGCCGTTCGGTGGGGGACAATAATCCCCTTGATGCCTTGTGGGCATGTCGTCCCACTAGTTTAGTCTAAACGCAGCATAAATTGGCTAAGCCTTTATGTTCAGATTTTCATAGTGCACAACCAAGAGCTCCTTCTCTATGCTCATCGTTCGCCGCTTTCGAAACGACCCCTCGAAATGATCCCAGAGTGCGTGCAACCCGATTCTCGCCCTTTTTTTTCCGCTTCACGGTTTTGCTGGGTTTTGCCCAAGAACATGTGACCCTACTCCGGTACTGGCGTTCGGAATGAACACACACGCATCATTCTACGCCGTTGCTATCCGCAAACGTTGTCACCCTCTTCCCAATCGTGGTGCTTCCTCTTTGCACCAGTCGATGTTGAGGGCATCGAAGGCGTAGGGATCATCATCCAAACCGCTATGTTGCGCTCCCCGCGATCGCTGTTCAGAGCACAAACACGCTACGCTTTGCCCGGGACATTGCCCGACCACCGCCGTGCGTCTTGACCCTTTTTGTGGATCCATATCTAGGGTATGGAAATTGCCACGTTACCCTGCGAGGAAGCGGCTGCCGCCGTAGAGCTCTTCGTAAGATCTTCGCTAGTCCTTCCCAGGAGGCCAGCGATTCTAGTGCTCGACGCACAGGCTGACCAAGGCGCCAAGGGCCGACTAGAGCTGCTGAAACACAGAAACCGAAGGTGCGGGTGAATAGAAACGCGGGCTATCACGCGAAACCGTCGGACGCCCGCGGGCGGGAGAATCTCCCGAGAGGGAAATCGTGCCGGATTGTCAACGATCGTCGGTACGGACAACAGCAGACGTGTCGTCGGGGGGTTGGTTGCATGAGCGACAGCACTCGTCGCACGGGAGTTTTTCCGCCCCAAACCTAGTCGTCGCGTTCTTTGCTTACCCGCGGCACGGAGGAAAGGTCCTGGTCCTCGCCTCGCTGAACGTGGACGTTTATGTCCTGTTAGGCGTTCTTGTGTGTGCGCGGCAATGCGGTTTGGTTCCGGGTTTCAAGGGCGACCCGCCTCGGTTCAGTCCGCGAATTTCCTCGACAACCTTCCACGTGCGTAGCTTGTAGATAAATCAATAAGATCTGCACACCCTGTGCAACTGCAGCTATTAACTAAGTTACAACCAGTTGCGCACGAGCCCCGAAGAGTAGTGTCCACAGATAAAACTGTCGTGCACAATTCGGAACCCGTAGTCGTCTCCAGGCAGCTATTTGCGCACGATCCTGGAAGATTTGTTATCCGTGACGGCGTGTTGCGTTAGGTCGGAACGGCTTCCCGAAGATGCTTGCCTCGCTTGGTTTGTGCCTGAAGGTGTCATGTGCGTTGTTTCCGCGACCGTTCAATGCCCTCCAAAGGTTTCTGGGCTACTGCAACGGGCCAAAGCGCAACCTCATGGAAGCGTACCGTGACTTCGGAGTCCACAACATCTTCGCCAGTTCCCTGATTTTGGAGCACGCCGCCGGAGACGAGCGGTTCGCACACGAAATCCTCTACGCGGCCGGAAAGCACTACCCCAGGCCAATGAAGTGGGTACTCCGTGACGTGCGGTCTGTGAAGCGAACCGTAGACGATGTTGGAACCATCCCATCGGTGCCAACGACGAAAGACGAGCGTTTTTTTTTGTGAACCATGGCCGGTTTGCCTCGGGTGACGAGGTTTTGGCGGTATCCCTTTCGGGGGATAGGGGTAGACACTCGTTATCAATGGTTTCTGGGCGAGCACCACGTCACCGCTTCACCTCTTGCGTCCTTTTGACCAAACGCGACGTGTACGCAGGTGGCATCCCGCGCCGGCTGGGCACGAACTCGTGGCAGACATGCTCTTCATGCACTACGGCAAGCTGTTCCTTGAGGCCATCGACCTTCTCGAGCAAGCGTCGCCTGGCCTGACCGCGGCTGAGCTCCGAGATAAAAACGAGCAGCCAGGACAACAGCCGCAACAAGAGGGATCTCGAGAAAACGACGGTAGAGGCAGCAGCGACCACGGGACCATTTCGATGGAAGCACTTCGAGAAGCTGTGGGCTTGGCGAGGGACAATCCGAACGTGAGAGGATAACAACATGCCGTCCTAGATGAGAGCAATTGCAATTGCCTGATGAGACACACGACAAGAATGAGTGTGACATGTGTATATTTTCTGATTACTCTGACAGAGAAGAGAGCCTCCGATTCCCTGTGCAGGCAGGCAGCAGCCAGCATTTTTATTTGCACAGTGCGAAAGGCCTCCTGTGTTCGGACGCGACATCAACAGTTCAGAGAGACGCGCGTTGTGCCCCCGGTGAAGATCGAACGAGCAAAGTAAAGCGATACTGCATGCTTTTAGGGGTGGAGCACTGAGGGTTGGAGGTGTCCTGCACAAACCCAAGAATACCTATAATTGTTAGAGGTTATTACTTGATGCACTTGTGCCTACGGTTTTTTTTCTTCCTCTCAATTGTTTTTTTTGTTTTCTTCCCCCGCGCTTTGGGGCTGACGTATCCTTGGTCTAATGAGATGAGTCTTCCCCTTCTCCCAGAACCCAATACTGCTGTGCATGTGTCGTCTCTTGCAGAAAGTCTGAAAGAATCCCGTTACTGACTTACTTGAACTAGAAAATTTTCTGGGCATGTTGATGGACTACGGTTTGGGGTATGTGTGTAGGCTCATTTCTGTCTTAGCGCCATCTTCATGGGAAACAAGTACACACACTGGCGGCATCCTCCCACCGTTCGTTGTCGTATCCCCTGCAGATGGGGTTTCGTTTCGTTTCGTTTATGCGCAGAAAAAAATGGAGGTATGAGCAATGGCAACTGCTACCACGTTGCTCCCCTTTGTTCCACACGCCACCCTCGAGGTCCCTCAGTGTAACGGCGTTTCTTCAAGTGTTGGCATCGAATTATCGTGCACAGCAGCAAATGTCTCGACACAGATGGTCCCACTCGGCTTTTTCCCTCTGGAGCGGTTTCGCCTCAGCTTTCCTTTCGCTTCCAGCCCCCGTCCTCCCAACCTGCCTCACGCCCCCTTCTTCCGTGACAATCAACGCCTGCACCCCACAGGTGTTCGTCAGACGCCCGGACGGCAAGCCCAGGCGGGGAGGCGGAGAGGGTGAAGAACCTCCGATAAGACCTCCGCCAACTGAATGTTCTTACATGGCTGGGGGGCGAGGACGCGGAGTGCTGCCACCGGCGGAGTGGTGCTCCGGGGCTCACTGTCAGGGGGCCGGCAACTATAGGTAGGTACAAACAGGGTAGGTCGCCTAGATTCTCATTTTCCACGCCTGTATCCGGACCCTCGATGCAGCCGGGTACGGTATGGCGTCTGCAGGTAGACGAGGCCGGCGTTACGTATTTACCTTGTGGTACAAAACAGTGAGATGGGTCAGCTGTCTCTGGTGCATGTTTTTGGAGGGATACAACTGTGCTGCTGCGGGATGGTATGTTTGGCGGTGCGGGTGCTCACTTTCCGTTCAATGGCGGTTAAATGGCGGGAAACGGTAAAAACGGTTGGACATCGATCACTCGCGTAGAAACCGGCCCCGACCCCTTTGATGAGCGATATGTTTTGAAACAATAGATCGCCAAGGAGAAGGCAGAGCACGATGCACCGAGAACTACGCATGCATGGAAAGCAGACACCCAAGCGTCATCATCGTCGTCGTCGATAGCGGCATCGTCGTCGTCGTCTGTGCGTTTCGCAACAAGTGCTGTTTTATGCAATTTTTTTTTTTCTGTGGATCTGGTGCCTGATTGGGGTAGTCGAGACTGTCGATTTGCGTTCCACACGCGATGGTGGTGGCAGGTTGATGCGGTGGTCGATACCCTTTTGAGTTGTCAAAACAAAGCGCTTCCGCCCTGACCTTTCTATTGGACATGGCAGACGGCCACGGCCCGCCACAGCAGTACCCCAAACAATTTTCGCTTGTCCGTGCCCCGCTGCGCCTTGATTGTTGTACATAGATGTGCCAACACCTACTACCCGTTGGAGGGAAACCAAGGATCTAGGCTCCTGGACATGGTCGTGTCTGATTCCGATGGCGAGGGGGAGGGGGGGGGCGAAAACGGTGACCCTGGAAACCCGGTAGGTCTATTCAGTCGTGACGAGGAGAAGCTGAGGGCGTCTCCTTCCGAAGGACGCTGGGCGGTGACACTCAACGAGGTGAAGGCGGAACGTAAACCCTCCACGTGTATTGACAACGGATGCATTGAGCAGGGCAAGAGGATGTTGGTGTTGTGGAGCGCTCGGTGCGCGGGTACCGTACGCACGTGAAAGCGTATCGGCCGTCCTTGTTGATTTGTCTTTCTCGGACAACAATGGAAACAGACGATATTGCGCACATTATCTGCCATGCAAAGCTGGTGCTACAGCGCAAATTTTTTGTCTGGGACAGAGAGTTGACCGAGTACAGCGTGACTGGTACGTCTTTCTCGGGAAAAGGACTTTCGACGACATGTAGATGTATGCAAATGTTGACTTTCTCCCGCCTTATCCTCGACCGTAATCGTCACGTTAGGGTTGCGCTCCGAGATTGATCCAAGCTCAAGACACGCGAATACAGTCTCAATGTTATGCTTTTCTCGCAACAATGCATCAATGTCTACTTTATAGGTCTCACGCCCAGCGATCAACTACATGATGTACGGACGGGCACCCGAAGGCTATCACAAGCCGATAGACGTCAAGTGGGTGCTCGTGGGGGACGCAGATTCCGGGCCAATCGAGTTCGAGTTCTTCACGGGGGGTGTTCCTTTCGACGAGGCGATAGATAGGACGACCACGGCAAGGGCGGCGGCGGCGGCGGCGGCGGCGGCGGTTGTGGTGGCAACAGGGGTCCAAGGAGTGGAAGGGGCGGCTATGCATGGTCTAGAAGCAGCGGGAGAGTACCCTGAGGCGGCCGCTGGCGCGACAGCCGTGGCGCCCGTGGGAGGGCAAGCGGGAGTGCTACCGCTAGGGCCCGTGGAGGCAGCGGCCGCAGCGGCCGCAGCGGCGCTGGCTGGGACGAAGGGGGTGGACTCCCGCGTGGTGGTGTGCAAGCCCGACTTCATCGACCGCGTTGGTTTCGCGGACCCGGGGGGGGTGGTGTTCAGCATAGACGGCGTGGAGACGTCCGTGGTGCCCGCGGAGGAAGACGGGTTGATGACCAAGTCGTGCTCCCTGCTCGCGGCGGAGGTAGGGCCTGGCCGCCACCGGCTGAAGGTTGTGCCGCTCAAGCGAGGGGAACCCTTTGTGGCGATTTCTCATGTCATTTATCCGGCGTGAAAATGGTGTTGTTTTGTGCGGTGGTTGGTTCCGTGACTTAAATACATATATATATATGTGTGTGTGTGTTTTATTTACATGTGTCGTTTAATGAAAAAAGGGGACGTATTTTTTATTCGAGGGAGGAAACGAAGAGTTGGTCGCTTTTGGTCGCGATACCTCAGGTTGGGTGGTGTGGCAGTGGCAGTCGTCCTTTGTGGTTGAGGTGACCAGTGTCGCCCCCGCCTCCATGCTGCGAGGAAGATGGACTGCCACCACTTGCCTTGCGATTGTGGTCCAATTGTGGAACAAAATACTGAGCGAGTCGCTGCCTGTGTTGCATGCACCCAACTCTCAACGCGATATTCGTGGTACGGACTGCAATGCCGGCGCCAGGTTTTACTGTATCTCATCTGGGATTCCCTGTGTGACGGGGAGTTAGCATGTGGCTTTGTTGTTGTTCGTGTTGCTGTTGCTGCTGCTCTTGGTGGTGGTGGCGTTGATGAGGTGAGGTTTTCACCCTGTGTACAGGATAACATTTCTTTCTTCGGCGGGTGGTGGTATTCCGTGGGCGCAACATATTATTAGACGTGCTAGGGTCCTCAACGTTAATAATTGCGGGGTACGTATATCGTACGCGCCGGTCTGACCTTTTTTATTGGTACGTCAGAATTTGTTATGTGATCATGTGGTGGCACACGGCCTGCTAGTTCCGATTGTGGCTTGCTTGCGTCATTGCGCGGTACCCTGAGCTTGGATTTCGAGCTGTGCGCACACACCTCTCTGTCGCCTTCGAGGCGACTAGAGAGGTATGTGTTTGTTGGTTGTGCTATCTGGTAAATTGTGATTTTGTTATCGAAATCTAGCTGACGTTTCGTTCTGCTTCGTTCCATGACGTTTTTTAGGTATAACCGTAGACAAACATAGCAATATTTTTTCGCCCGCCGCACGATCGGCAGTAACCTATGACCTACACCGGGGATATGGTGCCTTTCCCACACCTCCATGTGTGGCTCTGGACTCTGGTCGTATGATGATGTTGTTGTGTGTTTTAGTTTTAGGGTTATCGTTTTTGGTGATGTTTGTTGGCTTGTCGACATGGTGCGAGTAGAGATCGACAAACAGGGTTCTTTTTTTTTGTGTTGGTCTCTCTTCTCTTCTCGCCCATGTTGAGCTACGGGAAACACTCCTGTGCGTGTTGTGGCGACTTGTTTCATAATTTTTGCATGTGTGTTCGCTTTGTTGTAGGAGGTACCATAGTCAAAACTCCTTCGTGTCTCGTGAACACGTATGTATCGAGTAGAACCATTGTTTCCCCCCGACCGATTCGGAACAAATAGAAACACCATTCCGTGCCGCACAATGAACGGTCGTGTAGAGTCGTACCCGGGTAGACAAACCAAAAATGAAAGAGACAGGCCGCACAAGGGGAGAAAAAATAGTGTGTGTTGTGTGTTCCTCTTGTCATAATAACTGATAAGCATGCGAATTTACGTGTGGTGGTTTTCTGGGAGCATTTGCTTGGTGACGCTATGAGTGGCGGGAGACCTTTCACATCCAAGTAAATAAAAGTAAGTACGGAAGGCGACAGACCGGCAGGCAGCGGAATCCTGTGTTGGCGAACTGCTGGTTTCGCGTCTGGGGCGAGTCTGGAATGATCCTCTGTCGTCGGGGTTTCTTTCGGAACAAAGCTCCTTTTTTCATGGGCTGGACGTTGGATGCGATCGATCGGTAGGAGCGCTTTCTTTGAGGGTGTAGTGTGGTGGTGGGAAACAATTGTATCCACTTTCCTCCCGGCAGAGCCTAACAAGGAGGCGTTTGGTTATCGTATCAAAGGACGTAGTAGCCGTTCTGGTGACGATCAATGTTGATCTCGTATACCGGTGGCACATGACTAGCATAGCATGGGTGCTGTCGGTGAATACGACTGACTGCCCGGGTTGGGTGGAAAATGTGTCTCCCTGAAACAAACCATTCGTTTGCGCGCTTGTTTCGTTTGGATTGCACGGCTACGGAAGTAGGGGCAGTAGTCAAACTCGCGATTGCGTCGTGCACAAATATCTTCGTTTGTTTCCCCGCAGAGCACGGCGCATGGTGTGCGTCGAAATGATCAATGATCACAGCATGGCGGACGTCTTCAAAGCCTTGTTTGCGATACTCGTAACATTTTCTTTTTGGTGCTTCCGGTTAAGAAGTACCTGGGAGATGCCCGGGGATACCCCGTCATGAAATTATTTTTGCTGCATTTTCTTGCTACTGCATGGGGGGGGGGGGGGGGGGGTCCGGTGCACACTGCTTCGTTTTCCTCGTCAGCAGTAAAGGTGAATTTTTCTCTGTTCCCGAAGAATTATAATATATATAGGGGTGTTTGATTTAATTAATTGTTTTTGGGTTTGGGGAGTACATATGAAGGCAAGATCACCGCACGGGGAAGGTGGGACGGAAAAAACAAACCAGTCCCTGTCCCTCCAATTCCACCATTTTCGAGCCGTCCGATCTGCTGAAATGCGGCACTTCAGGATGGGTCCGAGCTGCCATGAAACGTGGCCCACGAAGGCGCCTTGCTTTTCCCTCTCGGCCGTGCTTCCACTAGACCACTACTGTAGAAACCTGTTCGCTTTGGGCGTGGTGCTCAACAAATGTCATGCTGGCGGTTGACGGCACTCTTCCAGAATTGAGCTGCTGCTGAAGACCGCCTCTTACTTGGCGGGAAATCAAAACGCAACATTTCATTTGACCAAACACTCACATCACGAGCTTAAGCGATTCGAGATCCTCACGGAGAGCGCACAAGACAAGGATCCTGGTGTTAGGGGTTCACCAATCCGAGGTCACGCAGAATGATTAGGGTTCCCCCCCCTCGAGACCCGCTACCACCTTAGCTGCGTTGCTTGCCTTCGATTGTTGGCGAGAAGAGTGCTAGCACGCTTCCCTCAAAGTATTACACGAACTAGCGCTTTCCACGACCAGGGTCGGAAGTGAGAGAAAAACTCTATTTTGCAAGGAAAGCTCGCTAACGCCGGGATTCGAACCCATGACCTGGGTGCTAGAGGGTTGCGACGATACCAAATAGACTACCGGGGCGACCGGCTCATGCTAACATCGAAAAAAAAAAAGGACCGAAGGATGCCAAGACTCAGGGTAGGGGTGCATCAATCAACAATCAACAGAGCTCGCACCAGGAAACCACTTAAAAACACAAGGCCTACAATTGGGGACTGCCCACGCCCTCCTCTGTCCACGAGCCTCGTGGTGGTGTGGACGCTGTGGTGACGAGAAACATCCGTTGCGTTCTGTTCACCTCTAAGCTCTTGATCACCTCCTTGAGCTGGTCGTAGTAAAAAACCCTTCCAAAGGGTTAGGCTTCATCTGGGAAGGGGGACGAGAAAACCATTTACTTGAACGTGTGATATGTATACAGTCGTACGTCGCGAATATAGGCAGGCGTGGAATGGCGTGATGGCGTCCATCCTCGGGTCCTGCTATTGGTTGGCACCCGAGGATGTTTGTGTATGGAGCTGTCGTGTGCTTGCGATTACTCATTCCCCCTTGATGTTAACCCTAACCCCGGCAGCAAGAATTCTTTGCAGGCACTGCTACTGGCTCTCCTTGCCATCAGCCGCCTGGATTTCGGGTGGAGTGGTTGCCAGTTACCGTCGATGACTTCCGGGACCTATACGTAGTCACCCATGCTGCAATACTGTACGATTGGACACCCCTCACGAAAAACACCACACCCAGCGACACGCTTGTCAACATCGTTATCGCCGGGGTTGGTTTCGTGTGTCGTATACGGTAGGTCGGGATACAAAACCCTCCACAACAAGGAGAGGGGTAGCCCGGGTCTCGTCAGAAACCTGCTTCCTCTACCCCCCCTCCCCCCACGCCGCCCCCCCCGGTGTTTGCCATCGGGGTTTGGGTTTTCGTCGCTTGGCAACGACGTTGTAAAACAAGCCCCCCACTCGGTGTTTGCCATCGGGATTGGGTTTTCGTCGATTGGCAACGACGTTATTAAACAAGCCAATTCACTTCGTGAACTCGGCAACCAGGTTACCGTCTTTTTTTTTTTACCTCTGGTTTTTTTTTTGGCGGTAACCATAATGGTGGTCGAGTAGATCATGTTGTGCGGGGTGGAGAAACCTCACTCCGCGCAACGGGGGATGATCGCACCACGTTGTGTTAAAATGGTCAAGCATCCTCGAGGCAGTTACACAGTGCTTACAACTGTCTCTGGAAGTGAAAGCACCAGAAAATAAATTAAGTCATACGTAGCTGTCATCCGTACGCAAGGAAGTAAGCACAAGATGCCGAACACCCTTAGCAGAATGGCAGCTCACCCTTCATGCGACTCGCCAAATACCTCACGGCGCTTCGCGCTTGGTGATGTGAGAGCCTGGTCCGGTGAGAACCCGGCGTGCTCCGTCCCGGCTTTGTAGGGATGCGAGGTCAATGGTCAAACGACTACGGCATGCACGACTATGAGTACACCCCCCCCCCCCCACTCCCCCTCCGCCGTGCGAGATAGGTCCGGCAAACTGCAATAATTGAACTTAATGGCTAATGAAGGAGGGTGAGCAAAAACGAAAAAGTGAAGAACGGAACGGGAAATCCCAATACAACGACGAAGGTATGGGAGCAGGGGACTCGAACTCGAAACTGGATCGCTTTACGACTCGGCCCTGTCACGCGAGCTACCACGCCACACTTTCGCAAGCTCGCGGGTTTGTACACCGACGAAGCTTTCGTGTGTCTCGCGCCATAGCAAAAAATGAGCGATTCCAACGCAAAAGGACACTCATGTGTGTGTGTTTGAATGGGTAGAGAGAGAGAGAGGGAATCGGAGTTCTAGGCACGTTGTTAGGCTTGAGAGGACGACTGAGAGGGCGAGGAAAACGTGTTCATGCCATTCGACCAAAAAACACAAGAATACGAACCTTAGTCGGCGCCCCCGGACCGTGCTAAGCCCTCGTGGAAGCTGATAATCTGGAACCAGCCGCCTTGTATCACTTGCCACGGAGGATTGGTCCATTTGTTGTTGTACAGCTGGATATCCGTAAGCCAAGGCTTTGCGTTAAACGTTTCCGCCGTCACTCTGGATATATCTGCACAATCGATCGTCCACACAGCGCTGCATAGTGACTTGTAGCGGTTCGATTATCGCGAATCGCGACTGGAATAACGAAAAAGGGCTGACACCTATTCGTATGATGCGTTCACCAAGCCAATGCAGGAGAAGTACAACAAACACCGCCTCCGTCGGCATCCCACTGTCGTTTTCACACCTAGGCACGGGGACGTGGAGCATATTTCTGCGTCGAGCCCGTTATCGAGATCACAACAACAAGCACTCGTTGAAGGTTGACACTAGAGTCACAGCAAGCCCAACGTCATCACGACCATGCCATAATTTGTAGCAGCTGGGCGAACGCAACGCAAACGTGTTCACCAGTTTGCAACAAGGACAGAACGACACGCATGCCGCGGTGTGTTCGAGCACGGTACCCGGAATGATCATATACCCCAAGTTTAAGGGTGAGATTGCGCTTCGTGACCAACTGCTTTGCGTTGAACAACCAAAACACGACGCTTGCGTAGCTTCATGCATGTGTACATAGGCCGGTCGCCCCGGTGGTCTAGTTCGTATCCTCGAAACATTTTAGAGGCCAGGTCAGGGGTTCGAAACCCGGCGTAAGCGGACTTTAACTTTTCTTGCAAAGTGAGTTTTCCTCTCGCTTCCGCTCCTGGCCTAGTGGATAGCGCTAGTTCGTGTGTACACAGAGGGACGAGAGTGCTGAACTCTTCTCGCATTAAAAACCGAAGGCAAAGTACCGCAGGAGGGGAGGGAAGAGAGGGGCTCTTCTGTGTGACCACGGGTTGGAGTAAACGGCACTAGTGCTGTGAGCGTTGATATGAAGTGAAGACAAAAAAAAAAAAAAAGTCATCAACAGTGATGGTATTGTCCTTTCACCCACGCAGTAGACGATGCTGTGTTTGCTCGGCGGTGCATCCCGCGGAAAGATTTCGGTGTTGTTGCAGCTTAATATTTCGTATTGTAACCATTGGCAGAAACCGCTCCTGCGTTGGACGAACATACAGCGCTAAGCGAAACAGGGACAAAATCAAACAACGGTCCAGGAGTGTTGACACGAAACCCATAGAAATACACCGTGTGGACGTGTTGGCCACACTCCTTCCTTTTCGATGACACATTTTCTTGCGCATGAAACCACACAACTCTCTCGAATTAGCATCACCAGCAAGCGTGCGTCTGGTCTCAACCATCATGAACGAAAACAGGCAATAGTGGTAAAGAAGCCCAGGAGCGGCGGAATACAACACGGTTACCTCGGCCTCCGAAGTGTGCAGTACAAACCAACTGCCGCACTCGATCTTGGGCATGCAGCCTGGCTGTGTTGCGTGTATGACTGAATCCGTCTCCTACAAAAGTTTGCTGTGCTGCTCTGTCTCTGTGTTTTGTCGATGCCCTCGTACATAATTATCGTCCTCGTAGCGTTCGTTCCGAAGCCTACGCTAGGGATACCGTGTAGGGATGACAGTGGGCACCACAAGGTTAGGGCTGTTTTGCTTCCAACTTCCAAATTTCGAAGTTTCGACTTGCCGGATTTCCAAACATTTTCAAAATGTTTTGTGCAATTTTTTCGGTGCCAGCAATTTCCGAAGATCCAAATTTTTCAAAAACCATCAAAAACAGCAAGGATGGTATCCAAGCGTTGCTCAGCCTCTTGGGTCTTGACAAAACGCGGGCGCACGGTTAATACCCTTGTAGGCACGGTGCAAAACACCTGGTCTTTGAACAAGCTTCGTCCAAAGAGCGAAGTGGCAATAGATATGTCTCTGCGCCATGTGCCGACCCCATTCCTTCCAAAAAGTATCCGGTCAACACCATCTCGCTGGTGTACGTCTGCTGACTCACCGGTGAGCTGGTTCTCGTGCAGATGAAGCAACTTCAGTGCCCGGGGGTACGCTAGCTCTGGTGGGAGGGAACCTGCGATGTGGACATGGCGAAAACAATGCCAAACGGCGATGAAAAAATGGTGAACTGAGCCCCACAGAGGGCAATCGAAAACGGGTTCGACCAACACGCGGTAGTTTCATTGGTCCATAGTCGCTACTGTTGCTTGTCCTTGTCGAGGACGCACTACGTTCTGGCCTCAGAGGAAACAAGGCTGAACGACTTCACATGGCTCGGACGGGGATGCTGCACGGATCCCTCCTTCGCACGAGCGAATGGGACAAATGTTCATAAACGCACAGACCAGATCGAACACCTCTGGCCACCTACAGTAGTATAACTCATTCACCGTAGGTCTGCGGGAATAAACTGAACCTGTAACCAATCCAACACTGAGTGGTGCTTTGTAAAAAAAAAAAATGGTTCGCTCCAACGGTGGGAGAAATCCTCATTATTCCAGCGCGAGTCTGCCACTACAGGCCATAAATTTCGGGCAAACCTCATGACAGCGCAACCAACCACGAAGTCCTTAGAGGAGCGCACCTATCTGCTATGCATACGCCGACTCTATACCGCCGGGGCTAGGCGACATCGGAGCTACCCAACACCTCAATCTGTGGGTGGACCAGGTGACCGATGAGTTTAAGCCCACTGAGAGAACAGCAACAAGCCAGACTCGTTCCACATTTCCCGGGTAATGCCTGCAAAGGTAACACGTCCGTACATCCCTCCGTCGACATATTCCTCTCCGGGACTTCTTGAAGAGAAACACTGCTGTAATGCCATGACTTACCCTCTGCGACAATCGACCAATTCAAGTCGCATCTGTGCTCTGGCACGACACCCACTGCACAAAGATGTGCATAGGCGCAATCATTCTACCCCCCCTCACCGGTAAGCTCGTTCCTGCTGATCCAAACGCGCTCAAGCTTGGTCATATCTCCGAGTTGCTTGGGGATGGTTTCTGGAAATACGTAATCGGGGCAACAGCACAAGACAAAAATATGAACATACCCGAAATGAAACAAGTAATGGCAGAGGCAAGACGTCTCAAAAATAAAAATAGCACATACCCCGTCCTCGCGTTGGAAGATCAGCGTTGACGGAGATCGACAGCAACCCGAGAACAGTGTGCCTCCGACCATCACCTGTAAGCTTGTTGTTGTTGAGGCCAAGCTCCTTCAACTCGCCGAGAGCTCCCAGCGTTTCGGGGATAGGACCTGCACGAGCACCATACCGGCAAGCACAATACACGATGAAACGGGATGTGGCTGATCTGCTAGAACATCCATCGCCTGCACGTTGGCGAGTCTCGAGTCGTGCAAGTCAGGAGAGGTGTCAACGCCAAATTGAAGGACACCAAACGCCAAAACAAGATCATGTTGCTCACCGTCAAGCTGGTTGTCTCCGAGATGAAGCATCTGCAGATGGCTGAGATCCCCTAGCTCCTTGGGGATGAAGCCTACAATAAATTTAAGCCGAGAGAGAGTTTGAACGGTGTTTGGGGTTCAACAATAGCTCTAGGCGCTTGTGGGTGCTTCTCCCTACAGTGCGAAGTAGTCACGTAAAACACGAGACTCAGCTTGTTTGGAACTCATGTTCGGCGTCGAGCGCTACAAACGATCCACGTACTTGAGCCTGTAAAGCTATGGACCGCCTCCTTTCACGGAGTCGGCGAGTTGCCATCCCCGCGCCGAATTACCCAGCATCATATTTTGAGGTGCAGTCGTGTCGTTCGGGCTGTGCCGAGTGAAACGAGGAAACGACGACAAAAAATATAACAAAAAAAAACAAAACAGTGCATCATACAGTATCATGCGTGAGAGTGTTCGCGCTACCCCGTGCGAAATGGTGGGAAATCGTTGACCTGTACTCCGGAGTACGTCATTGCAAGCTACACTAGTCCCGACAAAGAGAGTCCGAATCGCCTCGCCTCGCCTCGCCGTGCACCCCGTACGAAAATATCGCCGTATCCCCGCTTCTCCCAAATCGGTCTGTCTACTCAACAATCGATCGCACAGAGGGCTAGAAAACCTATCAGATGGTAATCAGTATCACGCGGTGCCCTGAGTTGGTGCGAGCGGGGGGCTAACCCCAACCCTACGAAAAACTTGGTGCCGTTTCCGCACCGGAGTCTCTGGCTGCTCATGGGAAATGTCACGCGACACTCCGCGAAAAATAAGCAGGCAGCTGCAAATCGACTTCTGGTTCCAAATACATACATGACCGTGATGGTGTGGTGCGAATTCAGCGATCTTGGCAGTACACTGCTATTCACGGTGTCGGCGTTGCAAAAACATTTCTGCCCTCGCAAGATAGGTACTGTTTTTAGTGGATCTATTCTGCATTTCCAGAGAAAAAGGCTCCGCCCGCGCGGAGTGGAGCAGACGTAAAAGCAACCATATTGATGTCGGTGGAGTAAAAAAATCACTCATAGTGCACTCTTGCCTGTCAGTCTGTTGAGACTAAGCGCTAGCTTCTCCAGCTTGGCGAGGGCGCCCAGCTTCGTCGGAATGGAACCTGCACAAGACGATAACAATAATTACGGTTAGACCTGAAACATTTCGCCATTGTTTGAAAGCGTGCTTCTCCTAGACGTGGGTACACAGTAGGACGTGACATCGTCAACTGTTGACCGAGAAAAACTACACGGTCCGGCCAACACACCCATCCCACGTAATGCATCTTACCAGTAAGCCGATTGTTGAACAGCAGAAGCTTTTCCAGGTTGGTGAGACTTCCCAGCTGCTCCGGGATGGGTCCTGCACAAGTAGCCAGAGATTGAAATTGTCATGATTCCAGGTATGCTAGGTAAGCTGTAGGGCATACATGTACAACCGCCTACGCGGAAATGGAACGGTGTGAGCGGGACAGGTGCTCCGGGAAACATTGAGAAAATCAACGCCCGTAGTAGTTCAGCATCGTACCTTCTAGCCAGTTGTTGTGCAGCGAAAGCATCTCAAGGTGGCGTAGAGCCCCCAACTCCTCGGGGATGTGCCCTGCACAAGCAGCACCGCGGAAAGCATCAAATAAGACTTGGAGAGCATCCCGTCTCACCACCAAACGCGTGGTGGCATGCAGGTTGGCGTAAAACCGCGGATATACGACGCAACTCACCGCTCAGCCAGTTCGCGTTGAGAGCCAAGTGCTGCAAAGCGCCTAGATTGCCCAGCTGCGGTGGTAGAGAACCTGTGGTAGAGGTTCGCACAAGGTCGTGGGCGGTTGACGAGTAGGTTAACAGGCCGAAATCCCCCGCGGTTTAGGCTTGTCGTACATGTGTCCAGCTAATCCCTACCAAGAGTTCGCGAGACAACAAAAATTCTAGAACCCTTCGGTTCTGCCTTGAAACTACGACTACCGGCATTGAAAGAGAGTTCTCGTCCATACAGTTCGCAGCCGACATACTTCACACAGCGGCGTGGCGAAATACTCCATGGTCTGCTCCACTAGGAGTGCAGCAGCATGGTAGAAAACACGTGCAACTGGTGTTTAGGAGTAGAGGCCAATCGATAACTACGTCTATGTTTGAAGCTTCCAGGGAGCTTGCCACGTCATGAAACGGTCACTTTCTGTCGACGAATGCTCGGGAAATATCAAGCTAACAACCGCCAGAGAGAGAGAGAGAGAGAGAGCGCGAAACCATGAAAATCTCTGCAAACGTACAACGCCAACGCCAGTTGTACCTTGGAGGTTGTTGTTGTACAACGACAACTTAACCACGCGGCCTTCGGCGTTCACGTCCACCCCGTACCATGTCCCCAGCCCCTCACTTGTGCCCCAGTTGTCACTTTTCCTCCACTCAGCCCCGCGGGTCGCCTGAAATAGGGCAATCAGAGCGTTACGATCCGTCGATGCCATTTCAAATTGGGCCTGAGGGGTTTCGCAGAGGGACGGAGAAAACAGCCAACATACCCAAATGGTGAGAACGAAGCTCTTGTCAGACGAAACGGCCATGAAATATCGTGAACGTGCGATGAATTCGATTGTTCCACTTGATACCAGGGTTGTCGCATAGGGTTGCGAACAAAAACAACCGAAAAACGACTATCTCGGTTTTCGCAGATGGGTTGGAGTTATCTTGCCGCAGAGGGGCGCGACAACATGAAAAAAAATAACACAACCGGGCAAGAGGTTGCGTGCTGTCACAAGTGGGTCCCGGGGGACATCTGGAACGGCAACGGCTTGTGTGTCTCGTGGTGTGTCATGGGGGCTCTACTATTGGGGGTATTGCACATGCAGTCAAGTACAAGGAAAAAATGGAGGAAACACGTGATTGATTGAATCCGTGCGCACGAAAGAGGCACACACACGTGTTGCCTGAAAAACTTTGACACAAGGGTGGAAAGCAAACAATTATTCTTACGTTCTTACGGGTAATCGTGTCCGTCTTTGGTGTGTGCATACTGTCACTACTATGCATCGCAAATCAATTCTACCTAGGCCATGGTCGTATTCAGGGAATGAATCTGCTCCCTAGTGGTAACTGCCGATGATTGACAGCTGCCCGCATCTCCACCTCTCGGTCCGTGCGAAACGAAGGCTCTACAGCTCTGCCTGTCATTTCCCAACATCTTGGTCAACGCAGCGATGATAGCTCTAGCCTGAGATATTTAGACAATTTGGTGCCAGGCTTGGAGGGTCCTTTTTATGGAACCCTCAACAAGCTAGCAAAAGCCCCATCGGACTAAGACAAGTTTGCAGCATCTCGTTCCGACATGCGTACATCCTGTCAAGCTTGAGGACGGTTGGACTCTATTGACAATTAGCGCACTGGGAATAGGGTTGTCGCACACGGGTGCCACGACCTCGGGCAATGCAACGTCCGGGCGTGCGATCGAGTGCCATTATAGGCACCGCTATATAGCGACCCATTACAGGAACCGCTAGATAGCGACAAATTGCGGAGGTTTCCATCGTGCTCTACTGCAGGCTGGTTATGGTGTCGCGTGGCAATACAAACGTGGAACCGGTCAAGGGATCTCTCCTCAATCCACACCTGCATGCCGCAGCCATCATGACCCAACCAACCGTTTTTTTTTCTCTTCAAATCAGCGCTCACTGCACTAGTGCCGTTTACTCTAACCCGTGGTCACACAGAAGGACCCATGTCTACCCTCCCTTCTGCGGTACGTTGCCTTCGATTTTTAATGCGAGAAGAGTTCAGCACTCTCTTCCCTCTGTGTACACACGAACTAGCGCTACCCACCAGGCCAGGAGCGGAAGCGAGATAAAAAATCACTTCGCAAGAAAAGCTCGCTTTCGCCGGGATTCGAACCCCTGAACTCGCCTCTAGAAGGTTTCGAGGATACCAACTAGACCACATACCAACTAGACCACCTGGGCGACCGGCTACGGACAGAAAATAAGCAAAAGACAGGGAAGCAAGGCAGCGACCAAGGAAAAGGACTGGTAGACAAATTGATACCACGTCCCGCAGGCAACTACGTCAATGTACTCTTCGTTCATGGCACCTCAAACACAAAATCTCTACAACTAAACTTTTCTACTCTGGTCATGCCTCGCTGCACATTCGTTTTATACTGTAGCGCCAATATGTACTCGTCGCTAGACGTTTTGTTTCAGGGTCTGAAGACAAAGAATTTCGATGTTAAGAAATTTTCAAGGGTTTACTCGGTAACGGTTTTTTCGGCGGACAGGTGTTCGGCGGTAATGCCATTTGGCGGCAAACGTATTGGCGGTGGGCGGTAACGCGTTTTTCGGCGGTAACGACTTTGGCGGAGGCGGTAACACCAAATATTGGCGGTAATCTTTTGGCGGTATTGCCATACGGCGGTAATTGTTTTGGCGGCAGGCGGTAATACGATTTGCGGCGGTAACGACTACATGTCGGAGGCGGTAACACATAATTTTGGCGGTAATCTTTCGGCGGCAACGCCTACGGCGGTAATAGTTTTGGCGGTAGGTGGTAACGCGTTTTTTGGCTGTAGCGAATTTGGCGGAGCCGGTAAAACAAAAAAATGGCGGTAAAACGGCGGATAACCGGGACCGCCCACCACGGCGGTAACTTCACGGCGGTAATGATTGCCATTGCCGTATAGTCACAACTTCAAGCGACACCAAACAAGGCGGCAACTGCGGTGCTAAGTTACCGCGCCCGAACAGACTGCAAACCACTTTTCCGAAGATTGACCATGTACTTCCGCCATTGTTTGTGTTGTCGTTTTCACCAGCGACTTTTATGCAGTATTGTGAAGGCGTTGCCAAGTCTGTAACCGTTAGGTGATGATAGCTTGGGTGTCTGTGTGGATAATAAGATGTGTTTGCCTACATTACGTCACATCACATGCCAGCTACTTTTGTAGCTACAGATGAAGAAATAGCTGTACAACGACTGCAGTGACAGTGCAGTTGCCTCGACAGGTTATGGGCCTCGAGGGTATCAAAACGCAGGATGAACCCTCGCACACTGCCCTGCGTGTCTGCAAAGGACCGACGCTCGGATGGCCGAACAGTCAAAACGGTCATGGACTCTTCCAACTGCTGCTCGCCCGTCATAGTAGTCCCGCCGCCCTCGGGAATGGCCGTCAGCAAGAAGCCGTACTGCTCGGCGGCGTCGTGCTCTCGTCGAACGAGGAGCCGCCGGCCTTCGAGCACCTCGTCCTTCATGACGCCAATGACCAAGTACGCATCCTCCGGATGCCTCCGCCGGAGGAAGGCCGTGCCGCTCGAGTAGCCTTGCCGATCGAGTGCCAGGCAAAGAGACTCTATTTCAAAGGCTGACATACACGACATGAACCCGGCGATCTCCATTGCAAACGTTGGCTACAAATCGACGGCCGCCGACCCAGGCAAGTACCTCCAGGCCATTCTCCCCTTTGAAATGGAGTCGTTGAGCCTGGCACTCGATCGGCAAGGCTACTCGAGCGGCACGGCCTTCCTCCGGCGGAGGCATCCGGAGGATGTATACTTGTTCATTGGCGTTATGAAGGACGAGGTGCTCGAAGGCCGGCGGCTCCTCGTTCGACGAGAGCACGACGCCGCCGAGCAGTACGGCTCCTTGCTGACGGCCATTCCCGAGGGCGGCGGGACTACTATGGCGGGCGAGCAGCAGTTGGAAGAGTCCATGACCGTTTTGACTGTTGGCCATCCGAGCGTCGGTCCTTTGCACACAGGCAGGGCCGTGTGCGAGGGTTCATCCTGTGTTTTGATACCCTCGAGGCCCATAACCTGTCGAGGCAACTGCACTGTGTCACTCGTTGTTCACAGCTATGTCTTCATCTTCAGGGGGATGCCCTACCGCATGCGAGACTTGTTGTCGTCCGTGAACATTGCGATAGGCTGACATCCGCTGTACGATGGCACGCCATGTTTCCCCCACATATCGAGATGCATAAACATCATTCGCGTCGGTGAATGGGCGCGGCCAACCGGGGGGTGACTTTTCTTCTTGCTTTTAGATACATCGCACACTACGCAGTCACCTGGTTCAATGTTGGTGGTGAACTTGATGCCGGTGCCCTCCTTATCCAAGAGCTGCTTCAGGGCACGCGCATTGCAATGTCCCATCCTCCGGTGCCAGACACCAGCATCGGTATCGGCACGAAACACTAGCGGAGAACTAGGCAGGACAAGATTCAAGTTGCCTCGACACTGGGCACTGCTGTGTACCCCCGGGCACCCTTCCAACTTAGCTTTGTTCGAACCGGGAACTACAACATGTTGTATTATGTATGTATGTAGGTATGTAGGTATGTATGTATGTTTTTTTTTTTTTTTTGTCTTCACTTCAAATCAGCGCTCACAGCACTATTTTAGTGCCGTTTACTCCAACCCGTGGTCACACAGAAGAGCCCCTCCCTACCCTCCCCTCCTGCGGTACTTCGCCTTCGATTTTAATGCGAGAAGAGTTCAGCACTCTCTTCCCTCTGTGTACACACGAACTAGCGCTATCCACTAGACCAGGAGCGGAAGCGAGAGAAAAACTCACTTCCCAAGAAAACCTCGCTTACGCCGGGATTCGAACCCCTGACTTGACCTCTGGAAGGTTTCCCGGATACCAACTAGACCACCGGGGCGACAGGACCATGTATGTGACTCACCGAGAGAGAACTGCGAGAGCGGTGTGACGTACAGTTGTATCATGCGACGTCAAAAGGTGATAAGATGATGCCAGCATCCCCTTCCACCGCGGCCACCAAAAACTCTTCAAGCCCAGAGCCCGTGCACTCTCTACCCATTGATCTCGTCCCCGTTCCGTCTCTTTTGGGCCAGCTCTCAGCCTCTACTGCTGTCTTGCCAGCTCGCTGTGTGCAACAGCAAAGGCCGTCTCACCCAACAAATGCGGGGGGATTTACATTCCCATCTGCGGGTCCCCTTGGTTGGCGTTTGAGCACCCCATCACACCTCTCTCCTATCTCCCAGGGTACGTGCGTGTGTGGAAACGGGCGGAAGCGCGGGGTGGTTGCTACTTGTGCTGGGTGCATGGCGCTGTCGTAGTTTATTGTGGAATGCTGAGGAGTTTATTCCGTTTGCACACCTCCTTTTCACTACACAGCAGCAGAAATCAAAATCCCTCCGCAAACAGGAGTGGCGGACTGGTACTCGGTACCGAGGTTCTTCGAGGTTTCGTCGCGGCAATCGACAAAAGGGCTGACAAAGCAGAGCGCACGCCCCCCACCGGAGGTCACTCTGTTTCCTGTCCAACTCAACAACAATACCACATCAACAGAATTGTGCAACATATTTTCCTCATTTCTCTCTGAACCAAATTCCACATTGTGTGTGGTTGTAGACTCACTTACGTCTACAGCAGCAAGCAGTGAACGCGCTTCTGTTACCTTGCTACAGCAGTTGTTCTCTGCTGCTACCGCCGTAGCACAGGTCACAGGGAGGGTGTCGGTTCCATCTAAAAAGAGAAAGAAGGTACAAACAAGGCAACTGACTGCTGCCACGTTGTTCCCCCTTGTTCCACGGGCCACCACCACGGGCCACCACCACCGTCGAGGCTCCTCGGCAGAAAAGCGTTTCTTCGAGTTGAGTGTTGGCATCGACATGTCGTGCACAGCGCTTGAAATATGTTCCCATAAGCAAGGAGGGCGCAAGGGCCGACAGAGTATGGTATTAGATTTTTTCCTTTGAAGCGGTTTGCCTCAACTTTTCCCCCTCCCACCCCCAACCTCCCTCGCTGCTAGCATTACAGTAAACACACCAACCCCACCATGTTTGAGCCGTCCGAACTGCTGACGAAATGCTTCTTCTCTGCCACGCCTCAATTAGTCCACTACTGCTGTAGATGTTAAACCCCGTTCGCTTTGGAGGTGGTGCTCAACAAATGTTGGCGGTATGAGTACACCCACCCCCAACCTCCCTCGCTGCTAGCATTACAGTAAACACACCAACCCCACCATGTTTGAGCCGTCCGAACTGCTGACGAAATGCTTCTTCTCTGCCACGCCTCCATTAGTCCACTACTGCTGTAGATGTTAAACCCCGTTCGCTTTGGAGGTGGTGCTCAACAAATGTTGGCGGTTAGCTACACGTTTCTAGAATCGAGCTGCTGCTGAATACTGCCTCTCATATGGCGGAAAATCAAAACGTAGTAAGTAACCAGAACACGACATGACGTGCTTCAAGAACGTCGAGATGCTGACGGGGGCGCACAAGGATCCTTGTGTACCCCCTCTCGACAACAACTACTACCAGATGCTTCCCACTCCTTGACCAGTAGCTCGGCACATCGTGTTCACCGAGGGGTGCGTAAAAAAAACAGCAATTTTTTGGCGTAATTCCGACGCATCACGTACTTGACCGCTAACAACATCTGGTACCGGACTCTCTTCAAACCTGCACCGATTGCGAAGGGTCTCCTTTCGAAAAAAGCCTCCCGGTTGAAACGGCCCTAACCAAATACGAAGTACATTCGTACCGTAGCAAACACATGAACCACAAAAAAATTATAGTCCCACGCTCGCACCAGGAGTTCACCTCCAAAAACGATACCACAATTCTCCCAACAAACCCATCGATAGGCTGTCCTGGCGAAGCCCCACAAAGCGGGCGACATGCTCCAAGAATGAAGCATTTTCCAACTTGGTGAACCTTCAGGTACCGTGGCGCCAACTCGACGCTACCTTTCACCAACGAACTGGTCGATGTTTCGGTTCCTGACCCATGCCCACTCCACGCCATGCCCGCGCCTGTCCACGATATTCATGGTGGTGTCGAAGCTGGGGTAACGAGAACCATCTCTCTGCGTTCTGTCCACCTCGAAGCTCTTGATCACCTCCTTTAGCTTGTCGTAGTCAAACCCTTCCAAAGGGATAAGCTTCACCGGGGGACGGGGGGCAAGGAAGCCGTTCGCTTGAACGTGTGACAATACAGCAAATGGCGTGTACGTAGGTAAAAATGAGGGGTCCTGCGCATGGCACGGAGAGTATGTAAACGTAAACGCATAGAAAGGGGTCTGACTTCTCGCGCCAACGATGAAAATGAGCACGTCGAAATCACAGGAAACGGCTGCGGTGTGTGAACGGGACAGAGACGGAGAGGGACGGAGGGAGAGAGAGAATCAGGACTCTAGGCAGCGTTGTGAGGGCTTGAGAGAGCGGGTGAGAGGACTAGAAAAATAATTTCTTGCCATTTGTGGAAATAAGTGCAGAGTCGGATATCGAGCATCTAATATCCCGATATGCGATGGAAATAATGAGACAATCAGAAAGGCGGCCATGAGCGCAGAGAGAGGTCAGTGAATGTACCCATCTCGATTGAGGGAGACACAGACATGCACACAACTCATCAGCACATACGGTAAGAGAGGTACCAAGAGCGAGCGATTTCTGCTCACGGAGGGGAGAGCAAACGAAGAATTAACTACACCCGATGGCTAAAAACGTTCCATGGTGGGATGTGAGAGGGGGAATCTGGCGCTGAACATTTCCTTGTATAAGCAGGGCCTGTGTCTTGGTAGTATACCTGGTAGTGACCCGAAAGCAACAAAGCCTTCGCGAAACATCATGTGCAAGATCGAGGGCAAGCGACACACAACACACAAGATGAGAAATGCACACGTATGCAGGAATCCACCACAGTAGTCGACCCTCAAGACTCTGCCTGATGCACCAGCCATTTCTGGCAGGACCCAAAGCAACTTACCGTACGCGCCAAACCTAGCCTCACCGTTTGCATTCCGTCACCGCGTACACCAGCGTGGGGTAGCCGTTCCGACGGCCCACTGTTCTGAAGCCTGTCCAGCCTATTGCCGGCCTTGCTCGTCGTCCCCTCGATGCCCGCGGACAGCGCGTCCTCTACGAACGCGGACATGTCCTCTGATGTCCCGAACGCCGCCTCGAATGTGTCGGTAGACACTGCCAGACCGGTGCACACCTTCAACGCGATCGAAGCGAGGGCCAGTCCAATCTTCGCGGCCGGTGCCGCTTTCCTTACCCAATCTAAAAACTCCTTCACCTGGCCATTCGAATACAGCAGAGGGGCGGGGGGCATCGGCTGCAGAATATGTGGTGCGGGACGGCGCTTCACCGCACACACCACACACATGACGGAAATCAGACGTACCCTACAGCTGGCACTCGGAAATGCTAACCCGGCCCTGCCGAAAAAGGCCGCGGTTCGTGATCGAGCCACCGTTTATCACCGCATATATAGCAAGCAGATGAGTTTCTGTAGGCGCACTTCGATGTTTGGACAACGCATACCAAGGATGATTGGGTGTGGTCCGTGCCTACCTCTTCGGGTTCCAATTAGGATGCATCGCCTCTGTATCAAGGTCTCTGAATTGAAGGCTTCTGTCGATACAGAATACACCAGGGACTTCAGGGGTGACAATGGACTCGGGTGAGTGGTAGGAGTATTTTCGACAAAGGGCACACGCTCCCTCTTGAGTCCCTCGCTCTTTCAAGTCATGCCTAACGAACTCAGCGGCCAGTTGTCTTTCCTCTCGTTATTGCTACGCTGCTGACGTGGACGGCGAAGCGCACACCTCCAGGATGAACACACACACGCGTACCGCAGTGACCCGAAGAACGCAGGTAACAACGGTTTTGTTGCCAGAGATAGGACGATTCAAATACTCAACGCTGCCAGTCTCTGGCCTGCTCACCTCGTACCCTTGACCATCGGGCCCACACTCGGCCAGGCTCTTGTCTTGGCCACAGAGGAAGAATAGGCGGAGTTCTCGCGTCACGAGCCCCCTAAGCTGGGGCTTATTCAAGCCGAGGATGCTGGTCTTCCGGTTGGGGTTCTTCGCGTCCTTCGCGGGGCTCTTGGACGCGCACCACTCCTTTAGTGCGGTCGACCACTTTTCGAAAGATCTATCGCTCTCCGAGAGGCGCGTGTCCCGGGCGGGGAGCACGCACACAAAGCGGGGGATTGGCCACCTGAGTAATTCAATTCCGTCAGTACACCAACGAGAATAAGCGTTGCCCAGGACTCACCGCCCCATCGGGAACGTGTGACCAGTGTTCCCCAATGGCGGTGATTCGGGTACCATAGGAGATGAGCTTGTCTACATAACCTAGAAATGTTTCTTGGTGGGCAACAGCTCACCCGAGAGTGCTCGTGAGTGAGAAACATTCACGTAACCAAACACTGCTGTTGGGGATGCTCACCGCAAAATGGCCACTTCCCGCGCCACGCCAACCAGGATGTCCCTCTCTGTCGGTCTCAGCCCAGCAACCGCCGCGTTCGACAGGTTTGCCTGGACGACTTGTTCCACGCCGGCCACAACCTTCATGGTCGTCTCGTTCAGCTTGCGGTTGACGTCTAGCTGCATGTCTGAGCACAAGCTACTGAGCCTCTTCGCCAGAGCCCCGTCGATGAGTTTCGGGATGAGCGTGTTGGATTCCGCAAGACCGTCGCCTGGACTGCTGGAGGGTTCCAGGATCTTTCTGAGGACGGCCTCCAGGTTTGGTTCCAGCTGCACCAGCCCGAGAAGGCGAACAAGGGGAACGGAGAACACCGGTAAGGCAAAATCTCGCTCTTGGTTGCTCCATTTTCCAAGCAAGGTTTCCTACAGAGGACATGGTCTGCTAAAAGCACTCAGACGATCTGCCGCGCGACAACGAGACCAATTTTGGGTGCCTCCAATACACGCGCTGAATGGGATGGACGTGATTCGAAAGCACCCGTGGAGAACACCATACGTCATCGGTGATACACGCTATGATACCAGCGAACGCTCGGAGAATGTACCAGACCAAGCGTCTACTTCGCCGTACCTCTTCGACCAAGTCTCCCCGAAGCGCGGCCCGGGTATCCTGCCAGGCTTCTCTCCCCTTCTTAAAGGTGGGCTTAGTCTCAGGGTCGAAGTCCAGCCCTGGGTACCGCTGTTCCAGAAGACGTACCACAAGATTTTTAATGCCAAAACCAGTGGCGTACACGTCCTTTTCGGCACCTCCGGCAATGTTCACCTCGACTACACGTTGGGACGGAGCACAAGTCTCCCCGAGGCGCACAAGGATCTCCTGCCCTGCCGTCATGAACGCCACCCCTCGGTGCCAGGAAACGTGAAACACGAAGTCTCCGGAAATCCCGCCGTCCCTACGTTTCAATTCGCCGAGAAATTGTGGGATGATTCCCGGCGGGACATAGCCGGCCTCGATATTGATGACGAACTGCATCCGGGTACCTTGAGATACTGCATTCTCCAGCTCCGCGAGGGAGGCACAAGCAACGCTGGCTGGGAGTCGAGCGGGTACCATGAACTCTCCTTCCTCAAGGACCCCATTCTTTTCGCACGGGAACATAGCGTCGTGCAGAGCCATCGTATCGACCAGGCGGTCGAACACTTCCTCGTCCTGGACCGCCTTTACCTCCCGCCACAGAAAACGAAGGTACTCCTTCGTGAGCATCCCCGTTATGACGAAGCGCCTACGCGCAAGGACAGGGCACCGTGCTGGTAAGTGTTAGCCGGGAAAAGCCCTAAGTCCGATATACTTCGCTTCAAAAGCACATGTTGTTTGTTCTTGCATGGAACCGATTCCACGCTGTGTGACTACGATACCTGTGGTTGTCGATATCTCTGTGCCAAAAGCTACGGCAGGCAGGTAGGATCTAGCTCTATCCAATTCGACAGGCACACCGACCAACAATGTCCAACCTGTGGATGCCGATGAGCCTGTTGAACTTGACGCCGCGGTCGTGGCAGTACGTCTTCAGCTGCTCAACCCACCACTTAGCCTGAGCATTCCAGCGATAGCGTGGGGGATACGTGTACCCGTTGAGAGCCATGGGAAAAAAATCGGGGAACTTCCCCATAGTTGCCTGTTTCTTGGCTACTGCTGTTGGCCGCTTGATGTGGTCCGGGGGGGGGGATCGGCAGCGTGGGATGTCTAATGATGTAACCAATGCATTCGTCCGCTACTTGAAGGAACCTATCGACACGCTTCCGTGGGGTGAGTACGGGACTCTCACTCGGCATTTTGGGTCGGACGAACTTCAACGTGTTTTGGACGAGCTTTAAACGTGTTTGGACGAGCTTTAACATGTTTGGACGAGCTTATAACGTGTTTGTGCTCGTCGACGGGGGCTAGGACGAGGAATAGAACCTCCCAACACTTGGTTTTGCCATTTTGAAGCCCGCATTAGGCATGCCGGCCCTTCACCCCTTTTCCTCAGTTTCACGGGCGATGACGCCTCTACGTGCCACTCTGGCGGCGAAGTGGCAGTCTGACCCAGGGAGGGGTTAATCTCCCCTGGCTGCTCATGAGCTGGACTTCTGTGGGGTCAACGCTTACAACAACACAACGGCTTCAACGTCGTGGTTGTTGTTGCTTCTTCACATAAACTTGTGCCATTTGCTAATCCCAAGATCTAGCAAAGACTCGGCGTGGTCACAAAAATGCTAGAGGCGTGAGAAGATCGATAGGACACTCACACAGTGCAAGAAAAGGGTACACAAGCCCGAAGAGGTACACCTACGCAGTCTTCAAGTACGTTTGCGTGCCCAAAACTGAGCTACATGTCCGCACACTACGCTCGACCTCAGCAGCATCGTGGGAAAGATAAACAAAGCTCGCCTGCTTTGGATCTGCCAGGCGATGGTCCAGGAGCTCTCGCAGCAACTCATTGATCCAGGCAACGTTTAGGTGGACCAGGCCACACGCCGCCAGGACTGATCCACCCATCTGCCGCAGCTTGAGCGCCGCCTGTTTAATTTCACGCATTGATCCAGCCCGGCGAGGGTATGTATGCACGGAAAATCAGAAGCACTTTGTTTGGTGCAGCGATCGGTCCATCCCGTTCGTGCGCATTATTCGGAAAATACATCAAAAACTCAGGCTGAACATTTCACACGTTTCGGCGGAACGTTGTCTTGCCGCTCTCTAGTTCGTCCGTACTCCATTGCTCGTCCCTTCCTGACTACCTGACCACGAAACCTGCCTCAGACGAGCACTGCTCCACGGGCAAGCAACACCTATCCAACGACGTATGGTCGTGCCGCAGGAGGGATAACCCTCGGCAAGACTTGGCGTCCTTTTCGATCGCAGGAGCATCCCACGAGGATATTCCTGGGTCAGTCGTGAACTCCTTTTTGATCGCACATACAAGCGGCGCGTGAGTGGCGTCTTCCAGACGGAAATGTGTACCTCAGGTATGGTTTAGGCACAATTGACGCCTGAAGACCCAAGCATGGACACCACTGTGTGCGCGAGAACTGGACTTTGGTACTTCAAGAGCGCCCCACCGTACCTGGAAGAGGCGTGAGGAATCCTGCTTGAGTTGTTGGCTGTCTGGGCCTTTGGCCTTCAGCTCCGCCACTGATTCGCCATCCACACCCCACCACGCTTCGAACGCCGCTTCCCGGGTCACAAACTCGCGCTTCTCGCGCCCTTCGACCGGGGCAAGAGGACCGTCCAGTCGCACCGCTTTCTGGGGGTCTGCTCCCTCGCGCAACGCATCCATGACGGCCCACACCCTCCTCCAGGACTTGGGGACCGTCTGATGGATGTCCGGGAACAGGGACGCCTCGTTGGCGATCTCCCAGATCTTTCTCCCAAGAACCGAAAGGTCCTCCAAACTGCGGCCGGAGCCCAAGATGAAGCCGCACAGCTGGAGCGTGGGCGGAGGTGCTGCTGCGTGATCCGCCGGGTATCCTGTCGTTGAACCACTTGCCAGGGGACCACATCGGTCTTGTGGCGTCTGCTTGGCTTTCTCGGCCTGTCGCTGAGCAGTCTGCCACTCCTGACATGGCAGCGATGAGATGGGGGAGGCGCAGGGGGCGTACTCTTCTGTTTTGCATGCTTAGCGGTTAGACCATTGACTACGCGTCCTCGAGAGGACGGAGTATTGTTCCCACAGCACCGATCACCAATGGCCAATCGTTCCTTTTTACTATGCCAAAGGTGCTCGAAAACGTCCTCCGTAATCTATCTATCCGATCGATACCACTTCCCGCTTTTTCAACCCACTTCCTATGCCCCAGTGCAGCTATCGTCTTCTCCCGGCTATTCCATGCCTCAAACATCTCCATGTACCCTCCTTCTACTTTTCCCAGCTTCGTCATGTACACTTCCCTCTCCTTGGTGTACAACCGACATTCCGTAACTATTATACATGAACACGGTCTTTGCACTCGGAGTTCCAATCACTTTTGGACTTGTCGTCTCCATCGTCGACCTTCCAAAATCTTCATCTACGTTCTCGAACGCCAATGTCCCTGGTCCTGAATTTGACCTTCAGCGTTGTCCCCGCACCCGTTGGACCTTGCAAGCACTCCGTGAACCCTATTCCTTCTTTCAGCATTCCGTACACTTCTAGACACTCCTTATCCTTGGTTTCTTTGGTTAGATGCTGTTCTTCTCTTTTGGCAAAAGCAGAAGATGTCTTCTCCTTGAACCTCTCCAGACCTTCCGTTTCCAGCGTATCACCTTCGTCAATTTCGAACCCCTTCCATACGTTATCCACAACCTTGACCCACCCCGTGGGTTGCTACCTTGGACATGTGTGCATTCCACGAGATATGTGTACTGATCCACTACTGCAAGCCCCTCGATCCCCCACTCGTCCGTCTGTACTCCAGTGGTTTCTTCCTGTCCTCGTTGCATACAGATTCATCATTGTTTCTCCTTCACAATTCAACTTGCCAGCGGTGTCGTGTCACAGGCACACAATTCGTCCGATGATGTCCGTCACCATCTGCACCAAAGCGCGAAATCCCACCTCGCGTTTCTCCTTCAAGTGATCGTTTATCGCTGCCTCTAGCTTGCTCAAGGCGGCCGCCGAGCGCTCGCGGTTATCACCAAAAGCGTCTGCGTGTGTAGCCACGACCAGGACAACGCTTCCGGGTACCCGGCAAAGCAATGAGTCCAGCCACACGTAGACTGTGTCCCCCGTCGAGGAAGGGTCACACACGAACTTGTGGAGGTCCACGACGAGCACGTGCAATGACCCTGAGGTCAGAAATAGCTGGAAACAAGGGAGAGGGGATATTGAAGCGATGGTGATGCAAGGTGTGGGGTGCCAATGTGACCATTCGCAAGTAGCTGTAGACAGGGAAAATGGTTTCGCATCTGCAATGCTCTCCACAATATAAGGAGAGCCAGACTCAGGGATAGCGACGCGTGGACACATGTCAACCTGACAAGTGGATTTGCGGCATGTCCGCCGTCTCGAACCTGGTGGGTGGAGTAGTAGTCATCATGGCCCGCGAAGTCCCAGATAACCACCTCAACCGCGGGGTCGAAGTTTGGCGTCCATGGGTTGATGTGTACGTCGACACCACGAGTCCTGGGTGGCGGAACTTTTGCGAGTTTTCCGTCCAGCAGGCCCCTTGTCAGAGTGGTCTTGCCGGCGTGCACCGCACCAACGAGCACCACCTTTAGACTTGGTACAACAGCGACACCCCCGGACTGTGCCAACCCCTCGTAGAAGCTGATGACCTGGTACCAGCCGCCTTGGATCACTTGCCACGGAGGATTTTTCCACCGGTTGAGTTCTAGCTTGATATCCCTAAGCCAAGGTTTTGCGTTGAACGTTTCCGCCGTCGCTCTGGGTATATCTGCACAATCGATCGTCAAACATGGCGCTGCTTAGCAGCTTGTCGAGGTTCCGTGTTCGCGAGTCAGGAGTACATTTCGAGCGTCTGGAACAAGTTTAAAGGGGGCGGCGCCTGTTCATATGATGAGGTCACCGGACGAGTACATCAAATACGTTCTGCCCGCGCACCTCACTGTCGTCGTCACACCTAGACAATGGGACGCAGCCCATACTTCACTGACATCACACCAACAAGCACGTTGAAGGCCGGCACTAGAGTCACCGCAAGCCCACTGTAGTCACGACAATGTTTCAGGCAGCAGCAGTTGGACAAACGCAACGCATTTGCGTTCACCAGTACGCAGTAAAGACAGGCAGACATCCATGCTGCAAGCGTGTTCGAGCGCGGCACCCGGTATGATTCTATACCGCGAGGATAAAATTGCTCCCCGGGAACCAATCTCTTTGATCAACAAAACACGAGGTTTACGTAGCCGCGAATTGTCATAAAACAATTCTGGTAGTGTCTTTTTGCCCAAGCAGGAGACGGGGCTACGGTTGCTCGGTCGTGCCGCCCAACGATTCTGCAGTTTCTCATTTTGTGTTCTACCCATCAAAGGATCCACTCGTGGACTGGATGAACCTAAAGCACAGGACAGAATCAAACAACGGTCCCATATGATGCTGACATGAAACCAATAGAAACTGATCGTGTGGACGTGTTAGCGCACACCTTCCTTTTCGGCGACACCTTGTCGTAAGCGTGTAATACTGTCTTGGAAATATCATCACCAGCAAGCGTACCTCTGGTCTCGACCATCGTAAACGAAAACAGACTGTAGTCGTAGTCGCAAAAGAAGCCCAGGAGCGTCGGAATACAAAACACAGTGAACTCGCATTCGATTCGTGCAGTATAAACCAACAGCCACATTCGATCTTGGACATTCAGCCTGGCTCGGTCGTGTGTCGTGCATGACAAAATTGGTCTCCAAAAATGTTTCGCGCACTTCTGCTGTCTCTCTGCTTTGTCAATGTTCACAAACAAAATATATCGCCCTGGTAGCGTTATGTAGTTCCGTAGCTCCCGGTAGGGATACCGTTTAGAACTGTAGTAAATGTGCGCCCACGTGGTAGCAGAAAATATCGTATACAAGCCGATGGCCACTTGCTGTAGACAAGTTTCATTGCGCCGGACGCACATGGTCAATAGTAGAGAAAGAGGGGAACGTCCGAGCATTTCCTGCAGCAGTGCGCCTCATCAAAAACAGCAAGGATGGTTTCAAAGCTTTACTCAGCCTCTTGAATCTTACCAAAACACTGTCGCACGGTAAGTACCCTTGTAGTCACGGTGCACTGATCTTTGATGAGGTTCACTCGAAAGGGCAAAAAAGTGGCGATTGATATGTCTCTACACCATGGGCCTCCAAATATCCTGGCAAATTCCAAACCGGTTGTGTACGTCTGCTTACTCACCGGTCAGCTGGTTTTCCTGGACATGTAGCAACCTCAGTGCCCGGGGGGCTGCAAGCTGGGGTGGGAGGGAACCTGTGATGTGAACGTGGCAAAACATTGCCAAAAGACGATGAAAAAGTGTTGAAGTGAGTTCCACAGCAGGCAACACAAAACGCGTGCCACCCGCACGAGGTAGTTCCATTTGAGCCACATCCCCCACTACTGTTGCTTTTCCAGGACGCACTACGTCCTGGCGTCAGTGGATAATAAGAAGGCTGAACGACTACCCATGGCTGCGACGGGGATGCTGCACGGATCCCTATGATACTTTGCACGAACGAATGGAGCAAACACTCATGGACGCACAGACCAGATCGAACACCTCTGGCCACCTAGTATAGCCCGTTCGCCACAGTGGGAACACACTCACACCTAAATATTTTACCAATCCAACACTGCTTGGTGATTTGTAAATAAAAACAAAAACAATATATCGGTTCGCTCCAACGGGGGCGAAACCCTCACCATGCCAGCGCCAGTCTGTCACTCCAGGCTTGGTGGGAAAAAATGCCACAAATCTCGAGCAAGTCAAACGACAGCGCCACCAACCATGCCATCCCTAGAGGAGCGCGCCAATCTCTTACGCCAACTCTATACCACCGGGGCTAGGTGACATCGGAACTACCCAACACCTCAATCTGTGGGGGGACCAGGTGACGGATGAGTTCAAGCCCACTGAAAAAAAAGTAACCAAGACAGAAGTTCCACATTTCCTGGAATATGAGTACGTCCGCATCTCCGTCCGTCGGCAAATTCCTCTTCGGGACTTCTTGAAGAGGAACACTACTGTAATGCCACCACTTTGCTCTGCGAAAATCGACGAATTCAAATCGCATCTGTGCTCAGGCCGGACACACACTGCACAAACACAAGCGCAATATTTGTACCGTCCCTTACCGGTGAGCTTGTTCGTGTTGATCCAAACGCGCTCAAGCTTGGTCATATCTCCGAGTTGCTTGGGTATTGTTCCTGGGCATAATCGGGGCAGCAGCGAAACATAACAACATGACCACCTCCAAAACATTGATGGCAGAGGTCTCACGAACAAAGCTTGTAACCAGCCCACACGTCGGAAGATGATGAATGACGGAGATCGACAGCCACACGGGTAATGTGTGCCTCCCCCCTCACCGCTGAGTTTGTTGTTGCTGAGCCCAAGTTCCTTCAACTCGCCAAGAGCTCCCAGCGCTCCGGGGATGGGCCCTGCACGAGCAACATACCGGCAAACTCAACACACGATTGACATGGCAGTAACTGATCTGCTACATAGATTACGCACCGCCTGCACGTTGGGGAGTTTCGTGTTTGACAAGTCAGGAGAAGCGTGCAAGTTATTTTAGCGAATGACGTTGGGGAGTTTCGTGTTTGACAAGTCAGGAGAAGCGTGCAAGTTATTGTAGCGAATGTCACCAGAAGACCCCGAAAGATGATCTCGCTCACCGTCAAGAAGGTTAACACCGAGATGAAGCACCTGCAGCTTGCTGAGACCCCCTAGCTCACCCCGGATGGAACCTGTACATGTAAAACCCGAGACGAGGTTTACGCGGTGGTTGCGGGCCTTCAACGACAGCTCTAGGCGCTTGTGAGGGATTCTCCCTCACATCCCAGCGCACTTCGGAATGACGCTTATGGTACACGACGCTCAGATTCTTGGGGCTCGAGCCCAAAGTCGTGCGCGGCAAAAAATCCACTATACCGGTGCCTGTAAAGCTATGGGTCGCTTGCTTTCACAGGGTCAGCGAGGTTTCTTCCCCACGCAAAATGAACCACAGAGCTGTTTGTCACTACACTGGCGCCGATCGAGCGGGCTTGACCCGGCTGGCCGCCAATACTGTATGGGAGTGCCTTC